GTACAGAAGAGACTTTTGGACTCTGTGGGGGAAGGCGAGGGTGGGATGTTTTGAGAGAACAGCATCGAAACATGTATATTATCAAGGGTGAAACAGATCACCAGCCCAGGTTGGATGCATGAGACAAGTGCTTGGACCTGGTGCACTGGGAAGACCCAGAGGGATCGGATGGAGAGGGAGGTGGGAGGGGGGATCGGGATGGGGAATACATGTAAATGCATGGCTGATTCATGTCAATGTATGACAAAAACCACTACAATATTGTAAAGTAATTAGCCTCCAACTAATAAAAATAAATGAAAAAAAAAAAAAAGAAGTCAATGGCATCCGGTCCCATCACCTCAAGGGAAATAGATGGGGAGACAGTGGAAACAGTGTCAGACTTTATTTTTGGGGGCTCCAAAATCACTGCAGATGGTGACTGCAGCCATGAAACTAAAAGACGATTACTCCTTGGAAGGAAATTTATAACCAATCTAGATAGCATATTAAAAAGCAGAGACATTACTTTGCCAACAAAGGTCTGTCTGGTCAAGGCTATGGTTTTTCCAGTGGTCATGTATGGATGTGAGAGTTGGACTGTGAAGAAAGCTGAGTGCTGAAAAATTGATGCTTTTGAACTGTGGTGTTGGAGAAGACTCTTGAGAGTCCCTTGGACTGCAAGGAGATCCAACCAGTCCATCCTGAAGGAGATAAGTCCTGGGTGTTCACAGGAAGGACTGATGCCGAAGCTGAAACTCCAATACTTTGGTCACCTCATGCAACGAGTTGACTCATTGGAAAAGACCCTGATGCTGGGAGGGATTGGGGGCAGGAGTAGAAGGGGACAACAGAGGATGAGATGGCTGGATGGCATCACCAACTCGATGGGCATGAGTTTGAGTAAACTCTGGGAGTTGGTGATGGACAGGGAGGCCTGGCGTGCTGCGATTCATGGGGTCGCAAAGAGTCAGACACGACTGAGCAACTGAACTGAACTGAACTAAGAAGTCAATGAACTAATCTAGAGTTACACCATCAGTTAGTGGTAATGCTGGAATTACCAGTCCCACACCACCATCCTGCTTTTCCTAAAACATGGTTTTGATCACATTATTCTCCTGCTCAAAAAGATTCATTGCCTCTCTTTTGCCTACAGAGTAAATGATGAATTCCCTTCATGGGCACTTAGTCCAAGGCCTGGCTTGTGCCTTTCCTCAAGCAGATTCACTTCCTTTGTCTGAAAGTTTCCCTGCTTACATATTCATTCATTCACATATGGATTGAGTACTAATTAATAGACTGGTCCTGTTTTGAGTACTGGAGACAAGTAAATCACGTTCCCTTTGTCCCAGTTTTTAGTATTTAATTGGAGATAGCCAAATAAAAAATCACCACCCAGTGAGATAGTTTCTGTAATAGAGTTGGGTACAATGTGCTACAGGTAAGAATTCTGAGAGGAGGGGGAATTTTTAAATTTTTATTCGATTTTTATTTTTGGCTGCACCATGAGGCATGCAGGATCTTAGCTGTCCAACCAGGAAACCAACTCAGACCTCCTGCATTGAGAGCACAGAGTCTTAACCACTGTACCACCAGGGAAGTCCCAAGAAGAGGTGATATTTTTAAGCTCAATCTTGAAGACCAAGTGGGAGCCAGCTCGATGGAGAAAGCATGCAATGGAACAGGAATTCCTAGACAAGAAAATATATGTGTGAAGGGGTGGTAAGTGGCAGGAGGTTAGAATTTTTTCTTTTGTAACTTTTGTTTTTTTCCATATATGTCCTTTACCATAACCTAAAATATGTATTATTTGGTTTATTCATTTGTTTTTTTTTTGGTTTGTTTTTTAAGGGGCGGCAAACTACTGCCTGTGGGCCAAGTTTGGCTTAATCTTTTATGGCTGGAGGTCCAAGGATGGCTTTCACATTTTTGTGGGTTGTAAACAAACAAACAGAAACACCAGAGAAGAATATGCAGCTAGGGTCACAGGTGGTCCACAAAGCCTAAGATATTTACTACCTGGCCCTGGATATAAATCATTTCAGAGATATGACTGCCTCTTTCCTCCACTGAGCTGAATTTCCTCGTGACCAGGATATTAGCACTGCTTTGTTTATCCCTCTGTCTTCAGGACAGAGTAAAATGCCCAGTCAGTAGGTTCTAAAAATAATTGTTGAGTAGATAAATATTATGTGGCTGGAGAGGTAGGCAAAGGGCAAGTGGTAGAGAAACTTGGATGCTGGTCTAAGAAATCTGAATTCTTAAAGCAAGGGGAGCCTTGGAAAGATTTTAAGCCAAGAATATTCCTTGCTTATTTGAAACCTACTCACAATTTAAATCCTCCTTCATGGAGGATTTTTTTAAAATTTTATTTTATTGAAGTATCATTGACTTACAACGTTGTGCTATTTCTGTTGTATAGCAAAGTAATTCAGTAGTATATGTATATATTATTTTTCATATTATTTTCCATTATAGTTTATTATAGGATATTGAATATAGTTTCCTGTGCTCATGAGGCTTCTTTGACTACCCCATTTGAGGTGTTCTCTGCTGACGTCTATGGGGTCACACAGAGTCGGACACAACTGAAGTGACTTAACAGCAGCAGCAGCTTCTGTGTTCATCTCCCACAGAGCTCAGTGTCTTGGTACCCAGCCGACAGCAGAGTGAGAAGGCTGAGTATAGACTTTGCTTTTTACCTTTTTATTTTGTACCGGGGGGGGGGGGGGGGGGGCGGTGGGTGGGGATAGCTGATTAACAAACAATGCTGTGACAGTTTCAGGTGAACGGTGAAGGGAGCCAGTCACACGTACACATGTATCCATTCGCCCTCAATGAGCATGGACTTTGGAACCACATTGGAGTGAGGTCCATCTCTGCCCTTCCTATCAGAATGACACTGAGTAATTTGACCTTTCTATTTCCCATCTGTAAAATGGGATGATAGCAGTCATCTATGCATAGGGTTGTTGTGAGAATTAAATGAGTCAATATTTGTAAAATTTGGAATAATACCTGCATATGGGAAGGGCTTAATAGGTCTTTGCTAAAAGTAACACAACAGTTCTATTGTATTATTCATTTTCTTTTTGTTGTTGTTTAGTTGCTAAGTCATATCTGACTCTGTGACTCACGGACTGTAGCCTACCAGGCCCCTCTGTCCATGGGATTCCCCAGGAAAGGACACTGGATGGGTTGCCATCTCCCTCTCTTTGCACATATGCCTAAATCTCCCATGCAGACTCCTCAAGGAGAGGAAGACTGCTTTTTTGTAACTTTAATAGCTCTTCCACTATTTGCAATGGATATCTTCAAGTCAGAAATTCAGATTAAAAAAACGAATCATATTGAAATTAGAGAGGTCTAGATAGTATGATCTTTTGCTGTTGTTGTTCACTGTCTGCTCCTTTGTTATGTGTTTGAAAAGCCAAAAGGAAACATACAGGACAGCCTCCATGCATACTGTACTTTGTTAGAAGCATAGAAATAACATGTGTCCCTCTATATTTCACAGAAACAATTTTTAATTATAAATTAGTCTCCATTGTGCATTCATGATGTTAGAGCCAAATTTAGTTTATGCAAGCACAGATATGCTATTCATATTTTTTCCCCCAAATGTTTGCCACACCACCTAAATCATCTAGGATAATTTAGTGAAGCAGTGTTTGTTTATGAAGACTGGATATTTGTGCCAGTATTTTTTTTTTCTTTTTATATCTTGACTTAGACCTGTTCCAGAGGAGTTTTATAAAATTAATACTACTTTCTATTTCATTGCTAAAAAGGCAGCACAGTCTTCTGTGCATTCTGTATGCACCTATAACTAAACTATCTCTTTGACAGCAGATAGAGGGGGACCATCCGAAAGACCTTAGAGTTAGGCATGACTGAAGTGACTTAGCAAGTATGCACACACCCCAAAGACCTTGACTTGCTCATTTTCCTTTATAGAAAAAAAATCGTAGTTTTTTCCAATGCTTAGTCATTTTTTAAGTTAGAGAATCAGTTGGATTCAATCACACTCCAGAACACTGGTTGAAGTCACTTATGTGAAGTCCTTCCTAATTCTAGGAGAATTGGCTATTTAGCTTGCCAGCTTGGTCTACAGAATTCTAAACAGAATTTTAAAATCAAATCTACTTGGACTGTAAATCCTTACCTGAAAAACAAGTAAATATTTGTTGAATACAATCTGACTTCTCAAAATTGATTACAAATTACCCAAAACTTGATATGGTTTTGCAACAAGCACACTATCTTCCCTGCTATATAAGTTTGATCTGCAAACAGTTAATTTTACCCAGCAATTCTCTGTTTTACTAAAGTTACTCAATTTGATCAGGAAGACTGCAAGACAAACTTTCTTAAATTTTGATTTAATATTGATTGCATTGATCATATAACAAAACCTGTCATACAAAGTGCTTAAATAATTTGAAATAATGTGAATGGGTTTGAATTTGAACTTAACAGCTGTAGCTAACAATTATCAGCCTTTTAAAGTCACTGACTTGTAATCAAAACAGTTTCTCTTCAGTAATTATTCTCCAAAGGTCTTTGAGCATGAGAAGCAGTTTTTAGATGCAATCAGAAAAATTCATCCTGGCAGTTGACAGAACAGAGGAGAATTTGAGGTGGAGGTGTCTATTCCAGCCAGGGAAGTTTTTTATGTGGAGTTTTCTAAAGGTTTCATTTTCACCATTCTTGGCCAAAGTGGGGCTTTGAGGCTTAGAATCTAAAAATCGACTGGTGACAGTTTAAAGACAGCAGACTGAAATGCAGAATTAACCTAGAAATAAAAAGTTATGATTAAAGAGGCGATGTATTATTGTTAAAGTGCACAAAACCCAGTTCTAGTGGAACTCAGCCATCAACCGGCTTTGTGAGCTTGGGTGCAAAATTAAACCCTGGGCCTCACGGTGCTCATATGTCAACTAAAGGGATTTTCCTGGATAATTTCTTAGTCTAGAATCAGCTCTGATGTTCTGGTCTAGATGTAAAGAAGTCTTTACCTTTGAGTCCTGGCTCCCCTTTGTCCCCCACTAAGTGTAATATCTGGGGAGACCCGGGAGTTCCTCTCTCTCCCTGCTCCCCCTTGGCTCCTGGGGGTCCTCTTGCACCCTTTACTCCTGGAATTCCAAAGCTCCCTAAAAGACAGGAATAACAGCATCAGTCCCTTAATTCTTTAAAAGTCCATGAGGATTTGAAAGCTAACACTGCTTATCATAAAACAAGACAAATAAACCAAAAAAGGTTAATAGGGCTAAGAACTTGATGAATAGTTGCTCCCAAACAGGCAACCACATGAAGGTAGTGGTCAAAGCCTATAGTGGAAAAATATGCCTCTATTCAAATGAGAAAAAGGAATACAGAAAACTGCAAAATTAAATACACGATTCCCTCAGAAATACTTTCTCCTCAAAGAATAAAATATAATTAACGTTTCTGCTAATTAAATGAATATTGTTCATACCTTCTAATAGCTGGAAGATACTCCATCACTTACCCCTCTGTCCTGGGGTCCCTGGGTTCCCAGGAGGCCCTGGGGGACCAATGTGGCCTGGAAACCCCATCATCCCCATTACTCCTTTTTCACCTGTGGAAAGAAATTAACACAAGGCAGCACACGTTGTAAATAATGAGAAAAGCAAATACTCCATAAAATAAAGTATACTTAGAGGAAAGAGAGTTGAAAAAATGGTTTCTGTAAATAGGAAAATAATCATAATAGTCTAGGATATGGGTCAGGAAATGGCCTTTTTCTTACATCACAGATGTAGAAGTCATTGATAGTACATCACACTTGTGGGTGAGGAGAGACTATGGCTGAAGTTCGGGAGCCTTTCTTCCTCTCAACCTTTGATCAATAACTTTCTATTATATTCCCTTATCTTACTTCCTTCACAACCTTTGTCTCTAGATGAATTTAGTTCTTCAATGTATTTGTTATTGTGTCCCCACTGTCGGAGGTGGAGTCTTATTCAGCAATGTGTCTCTAGGGCCTGGAACAGTGATGGCATATACTAGAGGTTCAGTAGTATAAATGAAAGGTTAATTAGCAGATTGAGTCCTTTTTCAATTTCTTTTAAAAACTTTTTAAAATTTGAGTATAATTGTTTTACAGTGTTATATTAGTTTCTGTTGCACAACAAAAGGAATCAGCTCTAAGTATACACATATTCCCTCCCTTTTGAGCTTCCCTCCCACCCCACCACATTCCAGCCCTCTAGGTCATCACAGAGCACCGAGCTGAGTTCCTTGTGCTATACCACAACTTCCCACTAGCTCCCTATTTTACACATGGTCGTATTCTGGGCTCTTCTCTTGAGGAGAGATCCGCAAGGTCCTTATACCATGAAAAGACTGTTGAAACATTCTCCCCCAAACATACAAACCATAAAAAGTGCTGCGATAAAATGAATTATAAGGGAATACTATGAACCATGATATGCCACAAAATTAGATAACTTAGACAAAAAGGACAAATTCTTAGAGAAGCACAGATTACCAAAATTGACTCAAGAAGAAATAGAAAGTCTGAATAGATCTATAAGAAGTGAAGAGATTGAATTTGTAATTTTTTTTTCTTCTAGGAGTTTTATTGCTACAAGTCTTAAAGTCTTATTTTGCTTGTTTTTGTTGTTGTGAGTTTTTATTTTTTTCTTTGTATATATTTTATTGAAGTATAGTCGACTCACAATGTTTCAGGTGCATAGCAAGGTGATTCAGTCATACATATACATATATATCATTTTTGAGATTATTTTCCATTATAGGTTATTACAAGATATTAAGTATGGTTCCCTGTGCTATACAGTAAACCTTTGTTATTTGTTGCATATCTATTTTTTTTAAAATTAGAAATCTAGCATTCTATTCATGCTAAGGCAAAAGTGGAATCACAACCGACTAAACAACAGTAACTTAAAAGGAAAATGTGGAAAACAAGGGAAGAAGAATAACAAAAGCAAGGGTACCTGGTGGCCCTAAAAATCCTGGATTTCCTGGATATCCTTTTGGACCAGGTGGTCCCATCTCCCCTCGGTGACCTGGCGTTCCTGGTAGTCCAGGTTCTCCAGGAAATCCTGACCTATCCAAGCCTGGGATACCTGGGTCTCCCTTTGGCCCTGTTTCACCTCTTCTGCCTGTATATAAATGAATGAATGAAAAAATGAACACACAACTGCTTTCCCCACCAACTCCAGATATATTTCATGGCTGTAAATACTTAGCTCTGTGATTTGAGCAAATCACACACTTATCTAATTGATTGATTTAATTGATTGATTTAGGTCCCCTTTTGTAGAATTCAAAGATCCCTTCTGGCTTTAAGATTCTGTGTTTCAATGCTTCATGAAGTGATGATAATGTAGAATTTAGATTTATTTTCTATTCCTGCAGGCACATCTAGGGAATGCACTTTCTGACCATGGCTCAGTCTTTAATCTGCAGGATTGGTACTAAACCACTCATCTGGCAAGTCTCAGATGCTTCTGGAAATAATAATAGCACCACTACAACAATTAACATTTTGGCTAAAATTTTGCTTGTGATCATATTAGAAGTGTGGTAGCTGAGTCCTAAAGGATTTTTTCCCCCAGAAATAGTTCACAAACCTGGTTGAGAGAAGCCAAAAAGACAGTAAATTTTCCATGACCACCTAATCTTCATAATTAGATTTATTTTCATATTCTTTTATGTTGCTTGTAAAGCAACTGACTATATATTCTAGTTTGTAACTTGTAAACATATATCTTTGCATACATTCACTCTGATCAATAATTAGGATACATTTACCACTTTAATATATGTATGAAAGTATTCAAGGTAAAATATTTTTGAGAGTTTATATGTATATATATATCTGTAAATATATATATGTATGTAATTTCAGTGTTCATATTTTCTTGCATATAAGACAGACCAATTTTACTGTAGTAACTTCAGGTCTCTTACTCTATCGATGGTACTCACTGCAATGAATCTATGACAACAGGTTTCTGTTTTTGAAATCACTTTTCCCACTGAAGAGTGGTCAGGACTTTTTACTGGGCAGTTCTCATGTCAGGCAGCAAAGCTCAGAGTAGGAGTCCCATGCCACCTGCCCACCTGGTGATTGGTTTCCAGGGCTTCCCCCTACCTGGCTGCCCTTTCAATCCGTTTAAGCCTGGAAGTCCTAGAGCTCCCATGGGACCCTCTGTGCACCTCCCTGGGGGTCCTCTTTCTCCAGGTGGCCCAGGCTTCCCTGGATCCCCTGCAAAAGAGAGCCCAAACACAATAAGGTGCCAAACTCAAGCTCTTAGTATTGCGATTCCAGTCATTCTCCTATAACTCCCCCCCCCCGCCCCGAATGGAACTTATATTTATCACCATTGATAGTACCATAGTCCTATGTCTAATGCAGAGGACACTGGTTAAAAGAAAAGAAGGAAGGAAGGAAAAAAGAGGGAACAAAGGTAGGGCAGCAATGGAATGGAAAGTTGAATGGAAAAATAATTAAGCCTCCCACATTCTATTTATTGAGCTAGAAGTTTGAGAAGAATTCTTCACTTGTAGAGAGCACTTACACACTCAAATGGAAGCATTGTAGCTGAGCTCACAGTGGAAAAAGGTAACCATACTTGCTATTGTACCTCGTGGTCCATCAAGCCCCCCAGTTCCTGGAACTCCAGGGAGACCCGGAAGTCCAGGGAGTCCAATTTCTCCAGTTTCCCCAGAGCTGCCTCTTTCTCCTGGCAAACCTGGCGCTCCGGGTTCTCCAGGCATGGCTAGTCCTGGCTCTCCCTAGGGCACAAAAATGATGTTAGTTTCACTGCATCATGCTTTCAAACCCTTACTGACTATAGACTGGTCTTCAGAGCTATTTATTTGAAAATAATATCTCCAAGATGGAGGTTCTACATCCCTTTTTGCATAGTCTCCACCATTCCATCCATTTCCCTTTTCCAACTCTAGTTGCTGACTTTTTAAATAAAATTGTGCTTACTAATACTTCCTAGCCTCTACTTTTAAGAACACTGTGGAATTTTCTATAGTCTAGATATCTCTCCTTTTGATAGTTTTTCTCATAGCTATCCATGTTGGTTTTTTAAAGTTTTCCTATTTTAAGAACTCTGAATGCTTCTGAAGATTAAGGAAGAAATAGAGAGGCAACTTGGTATTCTTACACCTTCTATCTCCTTTCTAAAGGGGAGGAATAATTTAAAGAAACTTAAAAAAATCAGTATCTTCATCATCTACAAATATATTGGTAATTTCTGCACACAGAGCATCCTGACTGGCAGTGGCATATGAACTGGCCAACTGTAATTGTTCCTCTTCTCCCCCATATTAGTTTAAATTTTAATTCTCCAAGACCTTGATTCCTGGGAGGCCTGGCTTTCCAGGTAAGCCTGGCTTTCCCATTTCTCCAGGACAACCTGGTGATCCTTTGGTTCCTGGAAAACCTCGGTCTCCTAGAGAAAAGATAATAAAGGTTGTAAGATAAGTCTTAAAAGAGCCTACACAGTAGCTCTCTCATCTTAAAGTGCTTTTGCAAGGCAAGCAGCCTTAGGAGTTTTCATGAAAGTTTGAGAAATGAGAAAGACAACTGCTAAATTAGCACTTTAAAAAAGTAAATTCCAAATTAGACTACATTGGTTCCCAGTTTAAAAAATTACCTTCTGTATTTTTGTTGCTTAGAGCCACTAAATTCTAGCAATTTTAGTTTAAACCACTGATACTGATTGACAATTTGGCTGCCTTTTTTAAAAAGTATATTTCACATACAGTGCACAGCCAAATGAATTTTTACATGGCTATCTGATGTGAGCAGTGACTCATTGGGAAAGACCCTGATCCTAGGAAAGACTGAGGGCAAGAGGAGATGGGGGCAAAGGAGGATGAGATGGTTGGATGGCATCACTGACTCAATGGACATGAGTTTGAGCAAACTCTGGGAGATGGTAAAGGACAGGGAAACCTGGCGTGCTGCAGTCCGTGGGGTTGAAAGAGTTGGACACGACTGAGTGACTGAACAACAACAAAGTGTAGGTATCTATTAAGAAGAATAAATTCCTTACAATCCCACACTCAGAAAGAATCATTATTACCATTTTGGTGAATTTCCATCCAGTTTTTTTCTGTGCATTTAAAAAAATATGATTGAGATGAGACTGCATAAAATGTGAATTCTTCCTTTTTTGCTTAGAATTATTTTAAGATTTTTTTTCCCCATTTAAGACTAGTGGAAAACATCATTTTGAAGGATTTAATGGATATTTCCTATGCTATTCATTACATGTGTTTACATTTTATACATATCCACAATGAACCTTAAGTTTAAAATTTTTTGAACACTTACCCTTAGGTCCAGGAGGCCCAGGGAATCCAATTCCTGGAATTCCTGGTTCACCATCAGGCCCCGGGAGACCCAGATCACATTCTCCTGTGGATCCAGGGATACCTTGGAAACACACAGACATCCATGTCAGCACCTTCCCTGTATCTTGCCATAAAACAAGACGTTGGTTTCTGCATTGTCCCAGACCTTTTAGGAAATTAAGAAATAATAACCCCAACTTTCTACCCATTCCTATCTAATGAGCTTATCATTAGGAAGCACAAGTAATTTAAAAATTTTTAATTTTTAATTGGAGGATAATTACTTTATAAATTGTGGTGGTTTCTGCCTTACATCAGCATGAACCAGCCATAGGTATACACCTGTCTCCTTCCTCTAGAATCTCCCTCCCACCCCCCACCCCATCCAACCCCTCTAGGTTGTCACGGAGCAGTGGCTTTGGTTCCCTGCATTATACAGCAAATTCCCACTGGCTGTCTATTTTACATATGGTGACGTACATGTTTCAATGCTACTCTCTCAAATCATCCCACCTTCTCCTTTCCCCACTGTGTGCAAAAGTCTGACATTTATGTCTGCATCTCCTTTGTTGCCCTGCACATAGGATCACCAGTACCATATTTCTGGATTCCACATATATGCATTAATATATAATATTGTAAATAATTTTGAAAATATAATTTAACTTCTAAAATGAATTATTTTTGATGTCTTGAACTATATGCCCCCATGCCCCACCATGAATGTAATGTTAAGTTTTAGATGATGTTGGCAAAAAAGTTAAGCTTTCAAATGAAGAAGCTATGGGAACTGTCCCAATCAACCAGCAGTTCACATTGCTTGCTCCTCCACCAAAAATCCGGGAAGTCTGTTCTTCTCTCCAGTCCCTCTTAAGGAATTGTATCAATTCTCTTTTGGAGTCAGAAGTACTAATGGGAATAGTCCAGATAACCTCAAAGGACGACAGCAAGTCTCCTGTCTGTTGGCTTGTCCCCTGTGACCCAAGCTCTTTATGGAGCCAATGAATCTGTTTTCCTTCTAATGGGAGAGTTTTAGCCAGGAGAGTCAGGGTGCCATCTGCTCCCATGTACCAGACGTGGCAAAGGGGATACTCACCAGGTGGACCCCGGGGACCAGCACGGCCTGGAGGCCCAGGGGGTCCTGGGGGCCCTGGGACTGATGTCGAAACACCAGTTTCTCCCTCAGGACCTTAAGAAAATTTACAGCATAAGATTGGTTTGCATATTGAAGTTTTTATTTGTTCAGAAGGGAAAAACATAATTATAAGGGATTCATAAACATACCCCAAGGGATATAAAAAATAATCTTTGCTTCCATAGGCTTCAAACCTGGCTTAAAGATGACCAGCTCATAGAAACTCTCTTATTCAACTGACAAATATTTATAAGCATCTGTTGTTGGCTAAGCTTTGTTTTAGTTAATAGTCCAACATGCTGATCTATTAAAAGAGAACCTATTCTAAAAAAAAATATTGATAATATGGAATTCAGCCTAACTGCTAGTGAATACTGGCAGCGTAATTATTTATTGGGTGACTAGTTTTCACAGGAAGACAGTATGCTTTACTGAATAAAGCATGAGGTGAGGCCTGACAAGTTGAACTGGGCTTGAATCTTGGCCCTGCTCTTTGTAAGGTCTATGAGCTTGAGCATGTTTTTTAACCTGAGTTCCTCAAGTGTTGAAGAAATAATGACTGCCTCCCCGGGAAAGATCTGAGATAATGTTCTGACCAAAGTGCGTGTGTGTGTGCACGTTCAGGTGCTTCAGCTGTGTCTAACTTTTTGCAACCCCAAGCAAGGACCATAGCCTGCTGGGCTCCTCTGTCCATGGGTTTCCCAGGAAAAATACTGGAGTGGGTTGCCATGCCCTCCTCCAGGGGATCATCCCAACCCAGGGATTGAGCCTGGGTCTCCTGATTCTCATGCATTGCAGGCAGATTCTTTACTGTTGAGCCACTAGATAAGCTCTCTGAAAACAGAGGCCAATATTAAAACAATTTTTACTGATTAGAATCACCCATATATTCATATGTTTATAGAAAAAATAAGTTTACAGTAATGTGATGGGAGAAATTTGATGATGATATTCCCTTTGGAAGAACAGAGGAGGATTTGAAGATGAATTAGAAGAAGGTAAACTTATTTGTTAAAGGGACAGATGGTAAATAATTTAGACTTTATGGTCCAGATGTGTCTCTGTTGCAATAACTCTGCTTTCCTAATGTGAGAATAGTGAGGAACAATCTGTGTGCCAATAAAACTTAATAGGAAATACAACTTTTAGTGTCTATTGTATTGCCTATAATTTTTACATGTCACGAAATATTATTCAAAAATTTTTTTCCAATAAATTGAAAATATAAAAACCACTCTGAGCTTGTAGACTATACATAACCAGGCAGTGGGCTGGATTTAGACTGTGGTCTGCTATAGTGTGTCAATCTTTGGATTAGCATATCAGCCTTAAAGTAGGTGCAGAAAAAAATACTCATATAACTCATATAACCATATAACCATAAAATAAGCTTTACATATGTGTATGGACAGAAATGCATGCATGCAATTTATAATGTACTGTTGACCCTTGAACAACATGGGTTTGAACTGCAAGGGTCCACTCATTGGCAGATTTTTTCAATCGTAAATAGAGTACTACATGACAGGCTAAGTTGAACTATACAGATAGGGAGGAGCTATACACAGAAAGCCTGATTCTAAGTTATACACATGGAGAGTTGGTGTCCCTAACTCCCATATAGTGTTGTTCAAGGAATGTATATATAAATGTATGTGAATACTACAGGGGATGCTGCATTCAAAATCTTATTCCTGGTGAGGGATGCTATAAAAAGATTTGGAGACCACTGGTACTGAATCACTAAAGTGATTTTAGAAGTAAAAAATTACCAATGCAACATTACTTAACACTGTCAGTAACAGGAAATTCTTTTCAGCCATGTTTTCCACCATGGGTAAACATGAGGGTCCAATCCCTCCTGAATACCAGAGCTATGTTCAGTACACATAGATCCTAAAGTTAATGGCACTTTATGACTATTGTCAATACAACTTTTCTTCATTTGCCTTAGATATTTTGAAGTTTTATTCGTAAGCTATTTATGAGGTTATGGATCAAAAAGAACAAATTGCAATAGCATGAGTGGGCCCTGGGGCTAGGAAGAGCCTTCTCAAGGTCAATCCTACAGGTCTCTGCCTCCCCTTTGTCATACCTGACTTCCACTCATCTCTTAGGATCTATTCATTCCATTTCTCTATATCAGGAATGGATATAGACTATTCCTAGGAAATTTCAGCTGCATTGCTCAGTAACATTGCTCTCTACCACAGCCTTCATGTTCTTTCCCAGAGTCTACAAGTTGACAGTCTTCTTATTAGAAGTAAATTTCTATATATTCACTAGTCTTGGGGGAGTTACATTCCCTCTAGCTCTAGGAACCATCAACCCACTCCACAGGAAAACAGGACTGGAAAGAAAACTAACCAACCGGCTTCTCCAGGTGGTCCAGGGGCTCCAGGAAGTCCTTGGGCACCCTTTGGACCAGGCTCTCCCTGTGGTCCATAGTCTGATGCTCCAGCCGGTCCTATGGGTCCTGGGGACCCAGGGATACCAGGATCCCCTGGAAGACCTGGGTCCCCCTTCTCACCACTCAGGGCCTGTATCAATAGGAATATGTTCGTATAGTGAGTCATCCAGTATCTCCTTACACAATCTCACATGAACATCAATACCAGTTAGGTTATCATTGAGAAGATCCTGAATTAAAAGGCAGTTGTTATTGAAGGCATTGTTTCTAAAATAAGCACTGAATGATATCTGTTGTTTCCTGCCTTTTGGGATCCAGCAACATGTCATTAACGCTCTCATGTCCCACTTGAGATGTCCTACAATGGATTGCTACACATGTAACAGCCCAGAAATCTCACCTCAGATTGGCCAACGATGCAAAGGGCATCAGAGTTGACATTCATGTTAATGTCACGTTTCTAAAATAAACCCAGTACAGCAAATCATCATTTGATTGGTTTTCACCAGGTATCTTCATTACAGAGGAGATATTGAATCTGTATTAATTTTTTCTTAAATCTTATGTTAATTTCATCATCTCTAGCTTTGAAAATGAGTTGTATCTTTTAAAGTTGAATTTGACAAAATAATTGAAGTTCCTCTTTCCCCCCAAGTGAAAGTGAAAGTGTTAGTCACTCAGTCATGTTTGACTGTAACCTGCCAGGCTCCTCTGTCCACGGGATTCTCCAGGCAGGAATAATGGAGTGGGAAACCATTCCCTTCCACAGGGGATCTTCCTGACCCAAGGATCAAACCCAGGTCTCCCACATTGCAGGCAGATTCTTGACCCTCTGTGCCCCCAGGGAAGCCCATCTGACAGGACTTTCATTGTTCAATGTCAACAGGTGGCTAAGTAGTCCTTCTTTTATGATGGCAGGGTGTAAGACTCAAAACAGTTCCTTGATACTCCCTTACTTTCGGGGACATAATAAGAACTAATAAAAAAAATAGGGAGATGTAAATAGGAGCATCATATGGACTGTATTGGGCTTCCCTGGTGGCTCAGATGGTAAATAATCTGCCTGCAGTGGAGGAGACCCAGGTTTGATCCCCAGGAAGGGAAGATCCCTTGGAGAAAGGAATGCCAACCCACTCCAGTATTCTTGCCTGGAGAATTCCATGGACAGAGGAGCCTGGCAGGCTACAGGTCGCAAAGAGTCGGACACGACTGAGTGACTATCACTTTTATTTTCATGGACTGTATTAATACTAGAACAAAAGAATTCTGTACTCCAGCCCTTTTTAAGCATAACTACCTCCTTGGAGGGACAGCTGGCAGTTTGCCAAAGATGAGTCTGAAACATTGGCACTGCTAGCTGCTCTGGCCAAAGAGGGTTTTGTACACAAAAAGATGTAGGAAAGATTGCATATCATATCTACATTTGGGGAGTCAATTCATATTCTCATATTAAAGGGTTTGTGAATGAAGCTTTAAATTGTTTCCAAGTTTCCCTGTTCAAGGTAGAACACTTTTGATTGGATGACATTGATAAGCCTTGGAGTAACTGGTATTTCATGAAACACGCTGAGTAGCAAGCCTTGTGAACCTCTCAGATATATGTGATAAGTGGTCGGCCTCTGCCTCTATGACATTTAAAAATAAAGGTCAGTAAGAACCTCTCACTTGAACATGTGAGAGATTTTATACATGAAAAGACAGGATTTATACAAGCTTAAGTACTATAAATGACAACACTTTAGATTTTTTTGATTACACTAAATATTTTGTCCTTTCAGGCATTTATTTTTACTTAAAAGAATGAACAATGTCCCCAAAATAGTGACTAAAACTTTCTGTCACTAATCATTTTCTGAACTTCCCTATAAACTCATTTGATACAAATGGGGAATTATTACTTGTATATGAGACAAGATTATTGTCAATGTGGAATTTTATTTGGGCTGAAAACATCATTGAGAAAAAAAATTGAGTATGACATATTGAGTGCTACATATTTATTTTGTCAAAATACTATAAATATTTGTTCTGGTTTGAGGGATGAACTGTGCTGAAATTCCAATAATTTTTTGAAACGAGATCAGCCGATGTCTTAACTTTAGAGCCCTTCATTCAGAAGGAAGGTAATTTGGAAAAAGTTGCTGAGTACCAACCGGTTCTCCTTTAGGTCCTGGAAATCCTTTCACTCCCGGAGTTCCAGGAATGCCATCCAAGCCCTTTCTTCCAGGATGTCCTCGGAGTCCTGGATCCCCTGGGGCACCCACTTGTCCCTCTGGCTGAGATGCTTCACCTTTTTCTCCTTTAAGTCCTGGCTGACCCTGAGCACCTGGGAATCCCTAGGGTAGTAGAGAAATGTCTGCATTGCATTGGGTACAGTTGTTCTTGTCAATCTTAAAATAATGTCAGTAAGAACTTTTCAATTTTAATGGACATGAATTATTTTCCAGACATTTTCTTTGACCCACAAGTATTTTAAGCTTTTTGGCTTTATTTTTATTTCCAAAACTATAAAAAAACTCAGTTAGTATAATTCAATGCAACACCTATAATAATATAATTCAATATGATGCCACCATCATTATAATTCAGATTATGTTTGAATACTGATAAATTTTAATATGCATCCATGGATAATTTGATTCAAATACATTTATCCAAATATAACTTTCTGGTTTTAAATTTTTTATGATTTTATTGAGGGATCTTCCTGACCCAGGGATCAAACCCAGGCCTCCTACATTGCAGGCAGATTCTTTCACCGTTTCAGTCACCAGGGAAGCCCCACAATATGCATCCAAGGATAATTTGATTTAAATGCATTTATCCAAATATAACTTCCTGATTTTAATTTATTAACAATTATATTGAAGTATAAATATCATAAAAGGAATCCTTTGTAAGACTACAACTAAATGATTTTTAGTAAATTTACACATTGTGCTGCAATCGCCACAATCCAGTGTTAAAACATTTCTATCACCCCTCCAAATTCCCTCAGATCTACTTGCCGTCCACCCCTATGCCCAACCTCAGCCTCAGGCAACCACCGATCTACTTTCTGTCTCTGATACCATTTGAAATAATGATAAATTCATGAATTCACTTATTCATTCACACAACATTCATTAATTCATTCAATCCAAAAGTATCAACTAAGTGCTTTACTATTAAGTAAGCCTCCTTCTGAGGCACCAAACCGACAACTTATATGGACAGTAACCATTATCTCCAGAGTGCCCCAAACTGAACCTAAATAAAGCTTCAAAACTATGAAATCTTACTGGAAATCCTGGAAGACCAGCAGTTCCTGGGGACCCTGGGCTTCCTTTAATGCCAGCTGCCCCTTGTTCTCCTGCAAAGCAGTAAATTATTAAGTGGTCATTGAACACAAACGGAGTAGCCAGGGTAAGGCAGTGTGTGGGGAAAATCGGGCGTTTTCTTCTGAAGAAAGAAAATTTCTATCTTAAAACACACAGTGGAGGATGACAATGGGAGTGAAAAAACTGGAAAAAGAGTTATGTTCAAAATAAGTACTCAAATTTTAGCTCCCTAAAATTCTTGTCTTTATAATTTTAAGGAATACACTTATTTTTTCCTAAAGATAAAAGTAATGGATGTTCATGGTTAAAAAAAATTATACTGAAAGAAAAGAATAAGAATCATGCATAAATCTACCACCAGAAGATAATATTTGCTAAAATTTTCATGTGTATTACTCATAAATTTTATATCCATAAATGTGTAGGACTTCATAATATACTTTTTTGGTGTCACACTATGCATATGTCAATAAATATGGATTTATAGCTTCACTTTAAATGGCTGTAGCTTATTGTGTGGGTGTGCACGTGCACGTGTGTGTGTGTGTGTGTGTGTGTGTGTGTGTGTTCAGTTGCTCAGTTCTGTCCAACTTTTTGTGACCCCATGGACTGCACCCCACCAGGCTCCTCTGTCCATGGGATTCTCCAGGCAAGAATACTGGAGTGGGTTGCCAGATCATTTATTCAGCAAATAGCTATTTTTAGGTGTTTATTTTAAGATTTTTTTGACATGGACCATTTTTAAAGTCTTTACTGAATTTGTTACAATATTGTTTCTGTTTTATGTTTTGCTTTTTTGACTGAGATACACCTGGGATCTTATCTCCTGGACCAGGGATCAAACTCACACCCCCTGAATTGGAACTCGAAGTCATAACCACTGGACTACCAGCGAAGTCTCTATTTTTAAACATTTGCATTGTTTTATTCAATCTTAGCTGTTGTAAACAGTCCTATGATAGATACCCCATATTTAGTTCTGCGAATTTAACCAACGATTTCCTTTACAATAAATTCCTAAAAGTGTACCTCCAGGTCCAAAGAGGTAAAAACCTTTCTGAGGCTCTGGATATCTGTTGCTAAATTGCATTTTGCTGTACAACTGTATAGTTCCTCTGGGTATTTAAATATTTTGGTAAAGAGGATCCCTTTAGAGGGTCTTTTGGATGGATCTAAGGTCAGTTTATTAACAAATGTTTATTCATATTTTATTTTAATACAAGATGTGAGTCAGGAGAATTCTTTTATAGTAATCAAAACAGTTTTACCATTTATGCATCTTCTTTAAGCTATAGCTGTAATTCCTCAAATGTAAGGAAACCAAGGAAAATATAGCAATGCAACTGGTTGGGCAGCATCAATGAGCTGCCCACCTGCATCTCAAGCTTTGGGTCAGAGATGACTCTGGAGATGTAGGAAAATTATGATAGCTTTCCTTTTGTTGCTTCTCTCCTCCTTTCCTTTTGGTTTTTTTTTAACATTTTCCCCCAGAGACTTGGGTACCAAATAGAAGCTACAGAAAAATACTATCCCTGTTCTTTGCCCCATCCTTTCCGCTCAGGCTTGTCTCAGGTAGTCAGCAACTAAAATGCAATAGAGGGAAATGCCATGTTTTATGGGGTTTTTGGCCTCCTTTAAGTTAACAGAGTGTTTTTGAAGGTTTCCCTCCAAATTCACATAAACCACATCCTGACATTGACATCCTGATGTCTTTTTTTTTTTTTTCCTGTCCAGTGAGCGGAGCCTTTTGGTACTTGCAAAAACACTTGGGTGTAAACTGTCCTACCTTGGAATCCTTTTTCACCTTCTAACCCTGGCAATCCAGGGGGGCCTGGAGATCCTGGGACATAAGGACACTGTGTGCACAAGAGGCCCGGCTCCCCTGCAATGAGAACACACTTGCGTCACTCACAAACCCACACCGAGTCCTCAGAAAGGACTGAAACTTTCCAACCACATGACTATTTATTACATCTAAATTTTTTTCATGTAGTGAAAATTATGTATGTATTCATACATATCTAGGACATGCATAGTCATAAAAAATAATTCATCTATTATATCTGCTTATTGTATCTGAGCTTTTCTTTTTCTTTTTCTTTTTTTTTGCATTATAGAAAGGAAATCCGAAGAGCCCAGTAACAAACATTTACTATCTCAGTTTTTCTCTCGAGTGCAGGATAAAACTCACATGCTAGGAACAGCCAATGATTTATTGCACAGGCGCTAAATAAATTATTGATTTTCAGAGAAATAAATACTATTAGGTAATCCTTTTGGAAAAGAAGCCATCTGTGACTGTCTGCTGTTTGGGATCATTGTCTCTGGGAAGTATAAAATAAGTAATGATAACGGTGATGAGAATGACTCATTCTGATCGAACATCACCAACTGAACTAACCTTTGGGTCCACCGACTCCTGGGATACCTGGCGACCCTATATGGCCTGGATATCCACCGACTCCAGGTGGACCTTCACGAAAAATAATACCACCTGCAAAGAGACAACATCTAAGCTAATTTTTTATTTCTTTAAGTATTTTTTTCAATTAGCAAGTGTTTTAGTAATGTCTTTATTTTATATGCATTTCCCCATCTGTTTTGCAAGTTGAGCCTTGTGAAGGTTACCTGCAACTGAAAAGACCGACCAGCTTTCCTTTCACATCATACACATGATTTTTTTTTTTAAATAAGGATGCAGTTCTATTGCAAGTGCCCTGGGTTCCAGATCTTGACTTGAACATTCCTGAGCTTCAAGAGTTATGCACATAAGGCTTGTCATCAATAAAATGAGGACATAAAACCTACATTTGGAAAAATACCCAGAGCGCTAAGAGCCCTGACACATAGTGAAGCATTTTAGTTTTGTTTTGCTTTGTTTTCCACATAGATACCCTCCTTAACTTAACAGATTTGTTCTTGGACATTATGCCTATTAATAGGATAATTTCTTTGATGGTTGTTAGCCTAGAGGAAAGCTTTTATTTATTATTTATTTAGACTGCTCAGCTTATCAGATCTTAGTTCTCCTGACCAGGGATTGAATATGGGCCACAGCAGTGAAAGCATCAAATCCTAACCACTAGACCACCAGGGAACTCCCTCTATTTATTTTTTAATATTACTCATAGAAGTAGGTACTTAACTGAATTTCTTTATTAAGTTTTCCAGATTATTTTCTTAATTTTCTATGTTTTAATAATATTGTCTACAAATAATGATTCCTCCTTTCTTAAAAAGATCTCTGGAAAATTCTTAAGGCTAGTAGGAGGGCTGAGTATGAAACAAGACCTCCTAGGTACCTGCCAGGAAAGGCATTTAAAAATACATGGCGTGATCTGTATGTTCTTGAGGTGCTATACTCCTATCAGCCAACACATTTTGTGAAGTGGCTCTGTCACAGGACGCGGGGAAAAGGACAACTTCATCAGAACCTCCAGGTACCATTTCACATCCTCTGGGCAGCAGCTCTGTGGTTTCTGACCCACTTTACTTGGCAGCATCTTGCCTCTGTTCATGTTGCTCACCTGTAGTTTCCTACTCTGGGGCTTTCCTGCTGATGCCAAGGCATGGGATGCCCTGGAAGCCATGGAAACAGAGTCTGAAAGTGTGTGTTTGTGTGTGTGTGTGTGTGTGTGTATGGTGGTGATAGTAGGGTGTTTGTCTTATCTCTGGAGAAACTTTTGCCTCTTGGTCCCCAGGAAAAGTTTATCCTGAGACAAAGTTATGCAGCTTCTTGGAAGACAGTCTCCAGGGACAGAACAAGAAGTTGCACTTGGCCTAGGCCAACATGATAACAGTCCCTCCTTCTCTGCTCCACTCCTCTGTCCCTGCCTCCCTCTGTCCTCAGGCTACTGTTGGGCTGATCTTGCCAAGCAGTCATGCTTTCACAGGCAGTTAATAAAATTAGATACCAGTGTAAAAATAACACCTAAGGTCCACACGGATGGCCAAGCTGCATGTAAGGCTCATTGCCCCGATGGGCACACCTCTGTCCCTGGGCATCACACGCAGAAGGGTGCCCTGAAGCATCTTTACCTGGTGGGCCTGGAGGTCCCGGGAACCCCATAGGACCTGGAGACCCAGGGCAGCCGGGGGACCCGGGAGGCCCTGCTGCAGTCTTTCCTGGGGGCCCTTGCTCCCCTTTACTTCCTTTCACACCGGGTACTCCAGGGGCTCCTCGGAGGCCAGGCCTTGATGACCCTTGGAGAAAATAATCATTTATTGTATTTAAAAATTTCCCCCTGACTAACATATGCTTTTCAATTGCAAAAGTGAGATAGTCCTGTGAACGTTATACAATCAAAAAGTATACAGAGCATATGAAACAAAGTGAATTTTCTTCCCTCCCTTACCTGTGACCTGGTTCAACTGTCACAATACAGCAGAGCTCAAAACACTCTATTCCACCAGGTAACTTATGTGCTTTATTACAAGGGAATGAAACAGAAGTTGGGATTCACTGTAGTCTCTTGATTCAAAAGGATTTCAGGAGAAATTACTCAATATATGCTAAATATTTTGTAATTTTTTTTATTAGAGACTAGAAGATGCCTATCTTTCAGTGTCTCAAATAAGAAAGAGAGAAAAGTGTAATTGAACTTTTGCTGTTGTTTAGTTGCTAAGTCAGGCCCAACTCTTCTGTAACCCCATGGACTATAGCCCACCAGGCTCTCTGTCCATGGGATTTCCCAGGCAAGAATAACGGAGTGGGTTACCATTTCCTTCTCCATGGGTCTTCCTGATCTAGGGATAGAACCCACATCTACTACATTGGCAGGAGGATTCTTTACTACTGAGCCACAGGGAAGCCCATCTGAAGTTTATTTCCGCCAATTGTTTTGTGTGCTGTGTGTGCTAAGTACCTTCAGTTGTGTCTGACTCTTTGCCATCCTATGGACCGTAGCCTGCCAGCCTCCGCTATCCATGGAATTCTCCAGGTAAGAATAGTGGAGTGGGTTGCCACTTCCTATTCCAGTGGTTCTTCCCGACCCAGGGATCAAACCCACGTCTCCTGTGTCTCCTGCATTCCAGGCAGATTCTTTCCCACTGAGCCACCGGGCAAGACTACTGGGAGGTGCTCTTTCTTAGTATTTGGTCGGACCTCTAAAATCTCCACTTGCATCATTTCACCTTCAAGAAATACCTGCTGTTAAGAGTTTGGTATATATTTTTCCATGTATATGCAAGCACATATAATATGTATGCATTTCCCCTTTTCTTTTACAATAAAATCATAATATACATACAGTCCTCCACTCTCTTTAACCTTAATTCATTTTCAAAATTATTTTTAAAATATACAGCATAGTATAAAGAAAAATGAAATACAATCAATGCAAGGGTTTATCAAATCTTTGCTATTTTGTTCTTATTTTTTTTCCCTTTCACAAGATGACCCATTACAGAATGACAGTTAAAACTGAGGCCACTGTGGTTAATCCTTAACTAACCATCCTTGACCCTATTCTTCCTCTTTCAAGAGGCAACCACTCTAATGATTCATGAATATTTTTACACTTCACAGAATTGTGTATGTACTACAAACAATATATATTAAAATATAAAATCTGTATCTATGTATCCTTAGGCAACTTGTGATGCATTATGAAAACTAAACTATCACTTTAACCAACCTAATTGCCACAAAATTAACCTTTTTCTTTCTCTGTATCTTTTTCTGAGTTTCAAGCCTCCTGCTCCCACACCAAAGTTACTGCCTGACACTTGGTTTAAAATGCGTGGGTGCTAAATCTTTTCAGCTGTGTCTGACTCTTTGCAATCGTGTGGACTGTAGCCCACCGGGCTCCTCTGTCCTTGGAATTCCCCAGGGAAGAATACTGGAGTGGGTTGCCATGCCATCCTCCAGGGGATCTTCCCAACCCAGGAAATGAACTGGCATCTCTTAAGTCTGCTGTGTTGGTAGATGGGTTCTTAACCCCTAGCGCCACTTGGGAAGCTCAGTAGTAGTTAAAACTACTGAGAAGTGAAAAAGAGCATTTCTATATCACTTTGGGTCAGTTTTCCCCCCTTTCCCCTGAAGGTCCCAAAGTTAATGATGGAGAAGTTGGAAACACTTGTATATTAATTAATAAAACATCAGTCTTACGTAAATAATGCAAACTCATTAGAAAGCAGCATGTTTTCCTTTTAATAGTATTTGTATTGGTATCCGAGAAACATGTACGTACCAGGACTTCCAGGGGCTCCAGGGGGACCACTGGGACCTGGGGATACATAACAGTAATTGTTTACAAAGATAGAAATATCCCCTCCTTTCTTTATTGAAATCTTAGATGGCAATATAATGATAATTACTAACACATTTTTCATGCTTTGCCTCTACTCTCACATAAGTATGAGAAAAGTTCAGTCATTTAGATAAACTGTGAAGAAGAAACTAAATTCATCTTAGATGTCTAACACTCAAAAACAGGGAGGAGGCGAAATAGGGGATTAAGGGAAATGAACTACTATGTATAAAATTAATAAACAATAAGGACATATTGTATAGCACAAGGAAAAACAGCCATTATTTTTAATAACTTTACATGGAGTATAACCTACAAAAGTATTGGATCACTATGTTGTACACCTTAAACCAATATAATATTGTAAATCAACTACACTTTTTTTTTTTAAGTAAATTATAGTGCTTTAAAATCTTCAGATAACTCAACAGACATTTCCTAAGAGCTGTTCTGTGTTTGGCACTCTGCTGGAATGATTCAGAGGTCAGAAGGTCAAATTGCTCAAAATTGTCAAGAACCTCAAATTTGGCCTGGATCCATTTCAGATCACTTATAGCTATAACACCGAGTAGGGTTCTAACTCTTTGATGTATATTAGTAATTTATAGTGAGCATATCAGATTTTTTAAAACATGTGTCTAATAATTATCTGTCCATTTGTTTAAAACAATGAGAATTTTTACACGTTTAAATAAAATTCTCCTTGAAATCTTATTTACATCAATCATTTTCCTGAATCAGTGGTTCTCAAGCCTGCTACACGTTAGAATTAATCTAAGGAGCTTCTGTGACCTGCCAGTATCCAGGGCCCTCCTCCAGGCAATTACATCAGAATCAGAAGGAAGAAATGGGGACATGGTTCTTATTCAGCAGTTCTTGGGGATTTCAATGTGTGGTGAGATATAGAGCTTATTAGACAAGATCATCTCAACCATCAAAAGGGACAGAATATAAGTCAATGTGACTTTAATTCATGGCCCTGGAAGTCAGGAAGCAAGGGCTTCAGTTCCTTCTTGTCTCTCTGTAGATTTGCTCAAATGAGAGCTATTCGGGGCTCCATCTTCTCTTCTGTAATCCCTCTGGGACTGCTGGTTTTGGATACTCCCTCTTCCTGCCCTCTGGCTATGTTAGTGTCTTCCTATCAGATGTGAACATTATGTTTAAAGATATCTAATTATGCATAAAGATAATCAATTACTGTCTACTGTATACCACCTAAGGAATTTTCTTAGGAAACTATGAAAATTAGGAAACATCAAAAAATACCACCACCTGTGAACATTAGGAGACTGCCCCTTTCCTCTTGCAAATTCTAGGTCTATAAACACATGCCTTGAAACACATATTGCCATGAATGAAAGACACAGGATGATCAGCAAATGCTTTAGGAAGAAAATTCTTCTCACCCTGTGGGCCACGAGCTCCCTTGGGCCCTGGTAGGCCTGGAATTCCTTCATCTCCCTTTTCCTGGTATGCATCATAATATTCTGTCTTAAAGGAAAATGAGATTGAAAAAAAAAAAAAGAAAGAAAGCTATTATGGTAACTTGCCAAATACAATTACTTCAGTTTCTTCTTTTTTGATTAAATGATACGTTCCTTGTTTTCCTGAATTCACAGGCTTATGTGTTAGAAAAACATGGCAGTTAGATATACGGGATGGATAAATTCAAAAGTTAACCTGGTATCATGACAGTGCATATTTCATGGGCTTTCATTTAGAAATACATTTTCTGATGTGGCCCAAATCATATACACACACTTAAATATGTATATACATATCTATATACGTGTGAGTATGTATATAGAAATTAAAGTTTTACAAAAGAGTAACTTCTTACAACATACGATCAACTCTGATATTTTTTATTCTAATCTATTTCATTTTTTAAAAATGCTTGTCCTGTGGACTAAGTTTATTTCAAAGTACGTTGGGACCTACACATCAAAAAAGTACTTCATTGTTTCTCTAAATTTCAGGACAGCATTGATCTTCAGACAAACGTTTCCTTAGTCCAAGGACTGAGGATTATTAGTATTTCTGAAGTGATCAGTGGACCTTCTGCTCATTTCCTTAACCATCTCCTTCCAAAGCAGAACTTCCTCTGAAGTCAGTAGAAGCTGCAGAATTATGTGGAATTGAGCATTAAAAAAAAGATGGAACTATAAGTTTTTAAAAACTTTTTTCAGTTTTATGCTGCATGGGGCCAATTAGCTTAATGACTTGTTTAAAAAACTATAACAAGAACTTTGTAGTTAAAACTGTATGCATAAAGTGAAAAAAATTCATAATGATAATAGTAATAATAGTGTAATAAACTCTTTCATCATAAAATCCATCAAGATATGTATGTACCTGCCAAGTATTGGCAAAGTACTTTCACAAAATAGCCTTTCATCTTCCCAGCAACCCCTTAAAAGGATCTTGGGATTGTCATCTGAATCATTTGCTTGCAAGGTGAAGAAGCTGATTTCTGGGACCCTCCTTCAGTTACTGAGTTAGCTTACTTGGCCGGGGGCGTCTGGGAACTGCATTTGTAGGAGGACACAAACGCACTCCTCCAGTGACTCCTCTGCCACCAGGGACCTTTCTGTCACACTTGCAGGTCTTAAATGGGAGCTCTGCTCTGCACTCTGAATGTGAGAACCACCGTCATTTGAGGCAGCAAAGGAAGGTACCGGAACTCAGAGCCTGGGTCCCATTCACACTCATCTCAAGCTACAGAGTCACTATATACAGCATGGCCACCCTGCTGCCAGGAGCTGATGGACATCAAATCCATGTCCACATGGGAAGGAGAGATCACCTGCCTCCAAGGAGCTTAAAAGTGAAAGTGTTAGTTGCTGAGTCATCTCTGACTCTTTGCAACCTTATGGACGATAGCCCACCAGGCTCCTCTGTCCATGGACTTCTCCAGGCAAGAATACTGGACTGGGTTGTCATTCCCTTCTCCAGGGGATCTTCCTGATCCAAGGATCAAATCTGGGTCTCCTGCATTGCAGGTGGATTCTTTACCCTCTGAGCCACCAAGGAAGCTTGGGCTGGGGTCACTGGCTTTTGCAGGCCTTGAATTTAACCCAAAGTTGAGCTTCTGCTGCCTCATAGTTCAGGGCTGTCATAACAGGGCCCAGAAGGTGAAGCCCTTCTCCCACCACCGGTACCTGAGCGGTCCTTCACTGCTGCCCTGCTATGCTACTCAAAGGTGCAGGATGACCTGAGGCCAGGCATGTCTAGACAAAGGCTTTTTTCTCTGCAGCCCAGGATGGGCATTGCCAGTGCATTCCAGGGACCAAGTAGGACCATATAAAAATATTTGTCCATTATCGAATGGACAAATAATGACAGTAGCTATTTTTTTTTTGCCCTGAATTGATAAAAAGGTAAATACTATCATCTCTAGCATAGCAGTTAATAAGGGACACTGATTCCAGATTTCCTTGATATTTGGAGACTTGATCAAGCATAATGTTAATATTGTTCTTCATTACACTTACTGGACCACGAAATCCTGGAGGGCCAGCGTTTCCTTTCCACCCCTGTATTGAAAGACAGTTACAAATTATGAGCACATTAAGCAAAAGTATTTACATGTTAGGTATACTTAGAAATCAAAATGCATAGTTAAATCTATGCTAAAACTGATGTTATTTCTATGAAATGTACAAGTCAAATTAGCACAAAAGGGATATTGACTTTTGATTATTTTCCTGGAGGGCCATATCTGAGGCAGAAATCCTATCTACAAGGTCTGGAGGAAGTGGCTCTTATTCTCTTGGTTTCTTCCACATCACTCCCTTCAAAGGATGTTTGCATCGCTGCATGCTCTCCCTGTTCGCACCTGGACGAAAGGCACAGGGAAGCCAGGCCATGGGTTGTAGGCAATTCCCAGTGTCCCAGCTATAGTCAAACTTTCTTACTGAAGAGGGCATTCCAGAATTCTACAGAAAGCCATAATATCATAGGATAAAAATCTTGACGCTGCATAAATATACCTATATAGGAAAATTATTTGAAATCCATAACGTGTTGTCAGAAATAAATTGATGTGAAACCCAGTCCACAGTTCACCAACGATGACCATTCAGTTCATCGTGACCCAGGTTGAGACTCACAGGGTTCAGACCATGCTTGACCTCCGATGAGCCAAAACTTCCTCCAATCACAGACAGGTCCTTTCCAACTCCTTCCTCATGGGAAGCTGAAATCTCACTGGTCCTCAGCCAACTTCCACTACACAGAACAGGTTTAACATCTTTCCCTTCAAGTGTTTAAATAAAGCCGCCACAGCTCTCCTTTCTTCCTAACAAATACTCTGAGGTATTTTAGTGAACTCTGACTGTGACTCCTTGCACCGAGTTTCAGGATGTGGAAAGGAAAAGGGGGAGAAAACCCAATAAAAGCTGAAAGCAGATGTTAGGAAGGGAATTACCTTAATGCCATCTTCACCCCTTAACCCAGGGAAACCCTTATCGCCTTTGGCTCCCTAAGAGAAGAGCAAAGTGAAAAGATCAGAAGACACTCTGATAATCAATTTCTTCTGTAGCAAGCAAAATGCTTTAAACTCCTTTCCGGGGGGAAAAAAAGGGGGTGCTCAGATGACCTCTCTCCACCGAGAGGTGTAACACTTAAAAATGCATGCATACTCAGTCGCCCAGTTGCTTCCGTCTCTGCAACACCATGGACTGTAGCCCACCATGAGTGAGTCTCAAAAACCCTTCTTGGTCTAATTGGACTGAATGGGCTGAATAGGACATCTAATAGGACTGAATAGGACATCAATGGGCCAAGTCACATCTTTACCTCAGTACCAGGAAAACCGGGGGCACCATCTTTTCCAGGCTTTCCCTAAAACAAAAACAAAAGAAAAACATGAAAGAAAAACTATTAATTGCAGAACTGACGATGACCTTCTGCCAGGAAAGGCTGGGAAGTTAGGGAGGGTCATGGGATTCTCCAGGCAAGAGTTAGACATGACTGAAGCAACTTCGCACACATAACAGTGTTCCATTGTATATATGTACCACATCTTTATCCATTCATCTGTCAATGAACACATGTTGATTCCATGTCCTGGCTAAACTAAGTTAGCCATCCAAGCTTAGAAAGAAAATCAGGGAAGCACTGAGCAGAGAAGTAAGCAGGAAAATTCAGAAAGAGAGAGGCGTTCACAGTCAATGTATTTATTTTTAATGTTGGCAATTCCCTGAACTGTAGATATGCCTATATTTAAGTGTACAAATAAAAGGAATTTCATAGTGTTTAAAGAGACAGAGCTGTTTAACTATTATGGGATTAACTATTATGGCACTTACTTTCCATGATAAAATTAAAAATAATATTAGTTGAATATTTGTCTTAGAAAAAATATACTTTTCCCAGTGTATGATTTTTAGAGTTTTTAAACAATGAGAGTGCTGCATGCTGGGTACTATGGGCTAAGTCATTTCAGTCCTGTGCGACTCCTTGTGACTCCATGGACTGCAGCCTGCCAGGCTCCTCTGATCATGGGGATTCTCCAGGCAAGAATACTGGCGTGGGTTGCCATGCCCTCCTCCAGGGGATCTTCCTGGCCCAGGGATGGAACTCTCGTCTCGTGTCTCCTGTGTTGGCAGGCAGGTTCTTTGCCACTAGCGCCACCTGGGAAGCCCCAAGCATCTTGTACTTGCCATCTATAAAGTCCTGAATACCGACTAATTTGGGGCTCCCCGGTGGCCCAGATGGTTAAGAATCCACCTGCAATGTGGAAGATCTGGGTTTGATTAATTTAGGCTGCACATGACACTGGATTCCAAACTCACCTGCGGGCCTGGTTCTCCAGGAGCACCTTTTTCTGATCCATAAGACTCTCCAGGTGGCCCCTGTATTAGTGAGAGTTAGGTCAAGTTTTGTAAATTACTGATCTTTGACTTACATCGATTTTTATTAACTTTTCCCTTCCGTTAAATTTTTTGAAATGATAGGTTATCTAAGTGGGACATCTTATTTATGAATATTAAATTAAAAACAGATGTTATAAAATCAGATGCTGAAGATAAATCACAAGATGGGTGACAGAGGGTGCATGTACAACAGTGCAGGGATTTCAGCTAAAAGTGGCCATAAAATAATTCTAGCATTTATGATCCCTGCAGTAAAATGCTATCACGCTTTAGCTAATATTAAAGGTAACTACCTTAAAGGTAGTTCATATGTCAAAATATGCTCTAAGTTTCTACTTTTTGTTTCAAGGGAACAATATGATTCTAAGTGACCTACGGAGGGTCCAGGGGGTCCGGACTGTCCCATGGCTCCCCGGTCTCCCTTCTCTCCCTTGAGGTCCTGTCACAAAAACAAGTTGAGGTCATCAGAAAGAGAGCAAACAAGATATTATTGACTACATTTGGAAAAGTCCTCTAGCTGTCCAATGAACTGGATTTTCAAGTTACATATATGCCTCCTATTAACATAACACTTCACCATTTCTCACATTTTGAATTTTATACATGTGAACCCCCTGAGACAATACACATTTTGTGTGCTGCATTTTATTTTTTGAATTGAGGTATAGTAGATTTACAAATATTATATTAGTTTCAGGTATACAATGTAGTGATTTAAGATTTTTGTATATTATACTCCATTTATAGTTATTATAAAACACTGGTTATATTCCCTGTGCTATATAATATATCCTTTCTACAGTCTCTTTTTAAAAAAGAAAGGAACTTAGATCAAACTATATTAAACTAATTTAACTCCTGAATCAGTTTTCTATAAGCACAATCAGATCATTTCTAATATATTTTACTCTCATTTTTAATATATTGAAATTATTTTAACTGAGATCAAGTATTTTCTGAGTAAATGTTATAATGAGGATTTGAGTCATTAATCAGGTTTGTTTTGGCCTTATCACATTTTATTAATATTTTGCAAAAATATAATTTTCAAAAACAATTTTTTCCCAATGTTAGTACTCTCTTGGGGTATCATTTTTTTTTAAAAGTCATTTTTTATCCCCTGGGTCAAACCTCCCAGCTCTTAATGTTCTCAAGATAAGATTTTTTTTAAATCAATTTTTCAGCCAATAAATCTTTAGATTTTATTAAATTTACTTTTGTTGATTAATTCTGAAAAGTTCAGTTATTTTCCTCAAGCAACATTTTTCCAATCTTCAATGAGAGTTATTATTTTGGTCATATAAAACATCACCATGTTTTAACTTATTAGCTTTGTTTGATAGCTTCTATCATTAAAAATTAATTCTATTGAAAAGTGATGGCTAAGTTATTTCTTTTAGGGTGATGAAAATGTTCTAAAATTGCCCACAGTAAGTTGCACAACTCTGTGAATACATTAAAAGCCACTGAATTTCACACTAAATGAGTGAATTATATGTTATGTGAATTATACCTCAATAATGCTATTAAAAATTAATTATAGCTAAAATCCATGAATTCTTTCTTTAAAATGGTGAAAATTAGAGAATGTAAATTATATTGCAATCAAGGTATTATCAAAACAATTAATCATAATTTTTATTTTATTTTTTTCTTTTACAATTGTAAAAGATGATGCATCTTAATTTCTTTTTTTTTTTTTCATTTATTTTTACTAGTTGGAGGCTAGTTACTTTACAATATTGTAGTGGGTTTTGTCATACATTGACATGAATTAGCCATGGATTTACATGTATTCCCCATCCCGATCCCCCTCCCCCACCTCCCTCTCTACCCGATCCCTCTGGGTCTTCCCAGTGCACCAGGTCTGAGCATGTGTCTCATGCATCCAACCTGGGCTGGTGATCAAAACAATTAATCATAATTTTTAAAAAGAGGGATGATTTATGTTTACTTCTTAGTTCGTTGTTTAGTCACTCAGTCTTGTTTGACTCTTTTGGACCCCGTGGACTGCAGCCTGCCAGGCTCTTCTGTCCATGGGATTTCCCAGGCAAGAATACTGGAGTGGGTTGCCATTTCCTTCTTCAGGGGATCTTCCCAACCCAGGGATTGAACCTTTGTCTGCTGAGTTGGCAGGTAGGTTTTTTTATACCGCTGGGCCACCTGGGAAGTGGACTTAGGTGACAGAGCTTATAAAAGAGGTAAGGGATCACAAGCACCTCATGGCAGAGAGGGGAAGGCAGGAGCCTAGTAATAAAACAGAGGAGTTACCGTTCTGTTATCAGGGCCGGTTAGAGTCACAATAACTGTTCCTGGTGGTCCAGGCGGTCCTGTTAATCCTTTCACACCCTAAAGACAAATACACTCAGGAATTTAAAAAAAAAAAAAACTTAAGCATAAGAGATCTACATTTCCTCTTTAGTCCTTACTTAAAAAATAAAGCAAACAAAACTTGAGACACGGCAAATACTCTGGTTTCAATGTGACTTAGTTAATAAATGTGTATTAGTAAGTCTTTTGTTGGTGGTGGTCAGTTGCTCAGTTGTGTCTGGCTCTGTGGCCCCATAAACTGCAGCACTTCAGCCTTCCCTGCCCTTCAGCATCTCCTGGAGTTTGCTTAAACTCAAGTCCATTGAGTCAGATAGTTAGATGCTATCCAACTATCTTATCCTCTGGCGTGCCCTTCTCCTCCTACCTTCAGTCTTTCCCAGCATCTGGCTCTTTGCATCAGGGAGCCAAAGTGCTGGAGCTTACGTTTCAGTAAGAGTCCTTCCAATGAATATTCAGAGCTGATCTCCTTTAGGATGGACTGGTTTGATCTCCTTGCAGTCCAAGGGACTCTCGAGTCCTCTACAAAACCAGCTGGAAAGCATCAGTTCTTTGGAGCTCAGCCTTCTTTATGGTCCAACTTTCACATGCATACATGACTTCTGGAAAAACCATAGCTTTGCCTATATGGACCTTTGTTGGCAAGATAATGTCTCTGCTTTTTAATACGCTGTTTAGATTTGTTATAGCTTTTTCCGAGGAGCAAGTGTCTTTTAATTTCATGGATGCAGTCACCATCCACAGTGCTTTTTGAGCCCAAGAAAAGAAAGTCTGATAGTCTTTCCATTGTTTCCCCATCTATTTGCATGGGACTGGATGCCTTGACCTTCGTTTTTTGAATGTTGAGTTTTAAGCCAGCTTTTTCACTCTTCTCTTTCACCTTCACCAAGAGGCTCTTTAGTTCCTCTTTGCCTTCTGCTATATGGGTGGTGTCATCTGCATATCTGAAGTTATTGATATTCCACCTGGCAATCTTGATTCCAGCTTGTGCTTCATCCAGCCTGGCACTTCTCATGGTATACTCTCAGTTCAGTTCAGTTCAGTCACTCAGTCATGTCTGACTTTTGGTGACCCCATGGACTGCAGCACACCAGCCTTCCCTGTCCACCACCAACTCCCAGAGCTTGCTCAAACTCATGTCCATCGAGTCAGTGAGGCCATCCAACCATCTCATCGTCTGTCATCTCCTTTTCCTCCCACCTTCTATCTTTCCTCCCACCTTCTATCTTTCCTAGCATCAGGGCCTTTTCCAGTGAGTCAGTTCTTCGCATCATGTGGCCAAAGTTGGAGTTTCAGCTTCAGTCCTTCCAATGAATATTCAGGACTGATTTCCTTCAGGGTGAACTGGTTTGATCTCCCTGCAGTCCAAGGGACTCTCAAGAGTTTTCTCCAACACCACAGTTCAAAAGCATCAAATCTTCAGTGCTCAGCTTTCTTTATAGTCCAACTCTAACATCCATACATGACTACTGGAAAAACCATAGCTTTGACTAGATAGACCTTTGTCAGCAAAGTAATGTCTCTGCTTTTTAATATGCTGTCTAGGTTGGTCATAACTTTTCCTCCAAGGACCAAGCGTCTTTCAATTTCATTTTGGAGTCCCCCAAAATAAAGTCTGTCACTGTTTCCATTGTTTCCTCATCTACTTGCCATGAAGTGATGGGACTGGATGCCATGATCTTAGTTTTCTGAATGTTGACTTCTAAGGCAACTTTTTCACTCTCCTCTTTCACTTTCATCAAGAGGCTCTTTAGTTCTACTTCACTTTCTGCCATAAGGGTGGTGTCATCTGTGTATATGAGGTTATTGATATTTCTCCTGGTGATCTTGATTCCAGCTTGTGCTTCATCCAGCCCATAATTTTTCATGATGATACTCTACATATAAGTTAAATAAGCAAAGTGGCAATACACAGCCTTGACATACTCCTTTCCCAATCTGGAACCAGTCTGTTGTTCCATGTCTGGTTCTCACTGTTGCTTCTTGATTTACATACAGATTTCTCAGGAGGCAGGTAAGGTGATCTGGTATTTCCATCTCTTTAAGAATTTTCCACAGGTTGTTGTGATGGATCACTGTTGAAGGCTTTAGTGTAGTTAGTGAAGCAGAAGTAGATGTCTTTCTGGAATTCTATTGCTTTTTCTATGATCCAGTTGATGCTGGCAATTTGATCTCTGGCTCATCTGCCTTTTCTAAATCCAGCTTGTACATCTGAAAGTTCTCAGTTCACATACTGTTGATGCCTAGCTTAAAGGATTTTGAGCATTACTTTGCTAGCATGCAAAATGAGTGCAATTGTGCAGTAGTTTGAACATTCTTTGGCATTGCCCTTTTTTGGGATTGGAATGAAAACTGACTTTTTTCAGTCCTGTGACTCTACTGAGTTTTCCAAATTTGCTGGCATACTCTTCAAGAGCATCATCTTTTAGGATTTGAAATAGCTCAGCTGGAATTCCATCACCTCTCTAGATTTGCAGTGATGCTTCCTAAGGCCCATTTGACTTCACACTTCAGGATGTCTGGCTCTAGGTGAGTGATCACACCTTTGTGGTTATCTGGGTTATTAAGATTTTTTTGTTTTGTTTTTACCTTATCAGAGTATAGCTGATTAACAATGTTGTGACAGTTTCAAGTGGACAGCAAAGGAATTACGCCATATGTATACATGTATCCATTTTTTCCCCAAACTCCCCTCCCATTCAGGCTGCCACATAACATTGAGCAGAATTCTTTGTGCTATACAGTAGGTCCTTGTTGATAACCTTTTTAAATACAGCAGTGTATACATGTCCATCGCAAAGCCCCTAACTATCCCTTTCCCGCATCCTTCTCTTTGGCAATCATAAGTTTCCTCTAAGCCTGTGAGTCTGTTTCTGTTTTGTATACAAGTTCATTTGTATCATTTCTTTTTCAATTCTGCATATAAGGGCATCACCAGATATTTCTCCTTCTCTGTCTGACTCACTTCACTCAGTATGTCAATCTCTAAGTCCATCCATGTTGCCGCATGGATGTAAATGGCATTACAAAATGCGTGGTTTATAAAATATTCTGCCCACAAATAAACATAGTATATAAATTACCCGCTCTCCTTTCTGTCCTAGCACGTTATCGCCCATGTGACCCTGTAAGAAAAGACAAAACCAAATTATTTTTTTAATGAATACAAATACACAGTCTAAGCCCATTAAAGTTCCAGTGTTTGTAACTGAACACTTAATTTTAATTGTAATGTTAGGATTGTAAAACTTACTTTATTGCTTGGAGTAGAGTGGCAAAATGTTTCTTTTAAAAGTAGAGATCTTAAAGTGCAGAAAGTTGAAGGGAGTTACTTAAAAAAGCAAGTGATGGCATGAAAGAGTGTGGGGTGGAGGAGGAAGCCCGATCAGAGGACATTTTTTTGGTCCTCTAGTTTTGAATCTGCTGGCTGGATATGTAACTTCCTGATGCCCTGTTTTCTAGTCTTAAAAATAAGAGGGATGTGTAGCTGCACTTCAGGATTCTGAAATTCAAAACTTAATAGAGAACTAAAAACAGAATTCAAGCTAACCTGACTTCACTAGTAAGTTAGAACATGAGCTAAGTCTAATGTGAATCATCTCTCTTCAGTAAATTTATCATTTCAACCAATGTCTCTTTGTTTCTTTGTTTCTGAGTTTGCAGATTTTCATCCCATTAGGCCACAAGCAGTAGATAAAACTCAGGATGACGAATCAAAAGATTTTCAACTTTAGTTCTGCCAATTACTGTTTGATGATTCACTTAACCTGAACCTGTTCATCTCAGAGAATATGTATGTGTGTGTCTATGTGTGTGTATACATGCACACATCAATGAAACAATAAATGTGAAAGCGCCTTGGAAAGTATCCTACACACAAAGGCTTACCTGATAGTAAGAGATACTGTGTTTAATACTAATTTCCTGGTGAGGCTCAGCCCTCTGTCAGCATTTTCTTACTTAAACTAATGAAGATTAGACTATCCAGCCCCAAAATACACCACTTTGGCAGAAGAACTCTTTTTGAGCTGAAGGCATTTGAGAAACAGGGAATGCAGAAACAGTTCTCTCCTCTCCCCCTGGGCCTCAAGGCTGGGCATAGATATCCCCGTGTGAATGTCACCTTCCCCTCTCCTGTACACAGAAGAGAAGACAGCTCATCACGGGAGACAGCACCAACTTAAACCTGCATCAACAAACTTCACTGAAATGACCCTTATCTTCCACTACTTTCCCCCTTATATTTACCTTCCCACAATTTGTTGCCCCTAGAAGCTCACAACCCACTTTCTATGTCTTGATACTTCGCCACAAATGTATCACCCTTTGTTAAAACGGTATACAAGCCTCTGGGTCTGATTGCTTCTTTGGGGTTTTCATTTCATTTCTGTGAGGTCTCCATATGCATATGAAATCAACCTTTTTTCTCCTGTTAACCCAGTCACTGAACCTAAGAAGACAGAAGAAAAAGGTTTTTTTTTTTTCTTTCTCCCCAATCCTAACAGTTGGCTTTTGTAACAGAAAGACATGCAGGACGCTGTTTAATGAGCACATGAACAGCCATCTTTTAGTTTCTAGTATGAAGACAGGTTGGTTTTGGGAAGCAGCCTAGTACAAAAATGTATAAGATAAAGTACTGGGAGATCGGCAGGACTATGAGAAATGGAAACTCATGGACTAGGAATCCTTGCTCTCTTCCCAACAAGGAGCTTCTTATAATTGAATTAAGACTCTTTGTATCAGAGATCAAGTTACTGAAGTGCAGGGAAAAGAGAAAAAAGAGGTGAACTGTTCATGTCCTCGCTGGGGATTCTCGTTGAGTCCCAAAGAGTAGCCCCAGCAGAGCCCCACATGCGCAATCAGACTCAGTTGGCTTTTAGATTGGTTAGGATGTTCTGGCTGGTACAACATATAGCCTGCAATCTACCTTAGGTCCTGGAGGTCCCATGGCTCCCGGAAAGCCCTAGAAAAATCCATCAGTTAAAATTACAGCAGGTAGTGCACCAAGCCCACAATCCTGTTTAAAATTTTTAAGCTATGATTCTTTTATTAGTTACGATGTCTATTGCAATGGTGGCTTCATACTCACAAGGAATCCTGGAGGGCCAAGTGGACCCGCAGGTCCAGGAAAACCTGGAAGGCCTGGCAAACCCTTTAAATGAAGAGAAGAATTAGAGTAAGTTTAAATTTACTTCTTACTGAAGAACAATGTCCATTAGTTAAATGCCTTAAATTATTTTAGTAAAATCAGGGCATAATGTTTCCCATTTATGCTTGCAGTTAATTTCAGAAAAGGCCATGTGCCATGTATAACTACCAGGACTATCTTGGTGATACTATCTTGGAGGTACCACCATCCTGGTGGTACTATTTCCAGAAAAATGACCAAAGAATTTGCTTTACTTTAGAAGACTTTTAAGATTTTTAGAAAAATTTCCTCTCCCTGACTCTCTCTCTGTCTCTCGCCAAGCATGCTCCTACCTCTGGATCCTTCCACCTGCTTTCCCTCTGCCTAGAATCCTCTTTCCCCAAATGTCTATCTCTATGACTCACTTCTGCTCCCTTTTCTTGTCTTTACTCAAACATAATCCTTTCCACAGGCCTTCCTGCACATCCAGTCTAAAGCCACAGTACTCCTTCTAATCTAGACACTCCCTATCCTCAACCCAACATTAATTTTTCTCCTCAGCATTTATTACTATCTAACACAACACACATGGATGTGAGAGTTGAACTATAAAGAAACCTGAGCACCGAAGAATTGATGCTTTTGAACTGTGGTGTTGGAGAAGACTATTGAGAGTCCCTTGGACTGCAAGGAGATCCAACCAGCCCATGCTAGAGGAGATCAGTCCTAGGTGTTCATTGGTGGGACTGATGTTGAAGCTGAAACTCTAATACTTTGGCCACCTGATGTGAAGAGCTGACCCATTGGAAAAGACCCTGATGCTGGGAAAGATTGAGGGCAGGAGGAGAAGGGGACAACAGAGAATGAGATGGTTGGATGGCATCACCAACATGGGTTTGGGTGGACTCCGGGAGTTGGTGATGGACAGGGAGGCCTGGCATGCTGCGATTCATGGGGTCGCAAGGAGTCGGACACGACTAAGCAACTGAACTGAACTGAACTGAACACAACACATAGGTAGTAATTTACATTTTGAAATATTTTCTTCTTCTAAAAGGCATGTGCCAGGAGGGCAAGGATTTTGGTTAAACTGTTTTTGGGGATTTGTGCACTATGGTATCCCAGAGCCTAAATAGCTCCTGGTACCTAACTGGCAGGCTGATAGTAAGGGGGATTTCTTGTAGAAATGAAGGTCCCACTCTTGTACCTTCAGCAGTAGCACATTGTAGTACATTGCCAATGTTCAACACACATTTAAGGGATACATCGTGTCCCAGATTGCTACTGTCTCCTCTTAACTAGATTTCCCGCCCTCAGCATCTGACACTTTAATACTTCCTAAGCAAACAAGCAAACAAGAAACAAACCAGGAGCCATCGACTTTTGTGTCTTTTCTCAAAAGCCTATGACCAGGCTTCCCTGGCAGTCCAGTGGTTAAGAATCCATCTTGCAGTGCAGGAGACACCAGTTTGATCCCTGATCTGAGAAGATCCCACACGCCACAGGGCAAATAAGCCCTCGAGCCGCAACTACTAGGCCTGTGTGCCGTAACTGCTGAAGCGCACACACCTCGAGCCTGTGCGCGCCTCATCAAGAGAAGTCACTGCACTGATAAGCCTGCACACCGCAGCTAGAAAACGCTTGAGAGCAGCAACAAAGACCCAGCAGAGTCGAAAATAAGTAAATAAATAAAATTCTCTGATGGCTTCTAATTGCATCACTGTTCAGTTTTGCATTACTAGCTGGCATGGCTCACTAGATGGATGTTCAACAACCTTAACTCAAACTATTTGACTTGCTTAGGCAAATACCAATCTCTACCCAGGAATTTTCACATATATTCCCCAATTAAGACATTTCTTTTTTTTCTATTGTTCTTCTTTATTTTTTTCTCTTTTTTTTTCCATTTATTTTTATTAGTTGGAGGCTAATTACTTTACAATATTGTAGTGGTTTTTGCCATACACCGACATGAATCAGCCATGCATTTACATGTATTCCCCATCCCGATCCCCCCTCCCACCTCACTCTCCACCTGACCCCTCTGGGTCTCCCCAGTGCACCAGGCCAGAGCACTTGTCTCATGCATCCCACCTGGGCTGGTGATCTGTTTCACTCTAGATAATATACATGTTTCAATGCTGTTCTCTCAAAACATCCCACCCTCGCCTTCTCCCACAGAGTCCAAAAGTCTGTTCTGTACATCTGTGTCTCTTTTCTTATTTTGCATATAGGGTTATCATTACCATCTTTCTAAATTCCATATATATGTGTTAGTATACTGTAATGGTCTTTATCTTTCTGGCTTACTTCATTCTGTATAATGGGCTCCAGTTTCATCCATCTCATTAGAACTGATTCAAATGAATTCTTTTTAATAGCTGAGTAATATTCCATGGTGTATATGTACCACAGCTTTCTTATCCATTTGTCTGCTGATGGGCATCTAGGTTGCTTCCATGTCCAGGCTATTATAAACAGTGCTGTGATGAACATTGGGGTGCACATGTCTCTTTCAGATCTGGTTTCCTCGGTGTGTATGCCCAGAAGTGGGATTGCGGGGTCATATGGCAGTTCTATTTCCAGTTTTTAAGAAATCTCCACACTGTTCTCCATAGCGGCTGTACTAGTTTGCATTCCCACCAACAGTATAAGAGGGTTCCCTTTTCTCTACACCCTCTCCAGCACTTATTGCTTATAGACTTTTGGATAGCAGCCATCCTGACTGGTGTGTAATGGTACCTCATTGTGGTTTTGATTTGCATTTCTCTGATAATGAGTGATGTTAAAAATGTGGAATGCTTCACGAATTTGCATGTCATCCTTGCGCAGGGGCCATGCTAATCTCTGTGTAGTTCCAATTTTAGTATATGTGCTGCAGAAGCCAGCACTAAGATATTTCTAATTAATCTGAAAGTTAGTATCAAAAGACTCCTTTGAAACATGAAGCCAAGGATATTCAGCCGAACAGCTGTTTCTTTGTATATATTCTGGATCACCCTCAGGCTACAAGCACAGATTTCAGAAAGCAAACTATTCAGCAGGAGAAAGATGCATTTAAATAAAATATCACTATCATGCATACTTTACAATAGGACTGTTATTTAATATTACAGTTTTAAATTGCATTCCATGTGGGATACAAACCTATCCTGGATTTTGACAAATACTAAGAGGAACATAACCATTCCTTGAAATCTCCTCCTTAGGTTGAAGAAAGCTTGGGTGATTGAGACTTGAGAAGAGACTAAAATACATATGTACAAAAGCATCTTTTTTATACGAGCTTAATGTAATTTCTTATAATGAGGTGAAAGTTTTAGAATAAAATGAAATATATAAATAGGAGAAACATGAATGTGAAAAATATTTTTAAGAGGGTGAGAAAGATATAGGGAGAGGAAGAGAGAGAGAAAGAAGAGAAAAAAAGAGGTGGAAAGAGACACAGAGAGAGAGATGGAGAATGATAGAGACCTTCTCTGAAGTGTTTACCTGGAATCCAGGAGCTCCTGGCAACCCAGGGTCACCTTTTCCATCAAGGCCTACACCTTCTCCTTCAGCAGGAGTGCCCTTGAAAAGGAAATTCATCAAACGTCAGCAGCATTTTATCTTCAAAACATCTTTAAATGATTATTCAAGGTCATACTGTTTCAAGGATAAAAGCGCTTCCAGGATATATACTTAGAGAAATGCTATAGGATTTTTTAGTTATTTTGTTTTGAAGAATTCAAAGCATTTTCATGCTTTCTAAAATTGACCACTGACTATAGAGGGAGGACACAAGAATCATAGACCATTTCCCAAGACACCAAAATGAGTGGCACTTCCTGATCTAGAATCTGGAGCCCTGATCATAAGATCAGTTCTCCTTTCCCAGACCTTATTTTCCGAAAGGCTGATACAAAGCTTGTATTCCTTAAGACATATTTATGGCAAGAAGTAGAAGATGCTCATTAGGAATAAATATCATTTCTGAATTAATCATGAAATCTGACTTGCAATGACATATCTTAATAGATGTGCCTTTCATATGTACAATTAGGGATTTTTCAACAATAACATGCCACAAATCACTTACCTTTTCTCCTTTCAAACCAGTGACACCCTAGGGAAAAGAGCATAATATTAAAAACTAGAGGCAAACCAAATACAGAACATCTCTGCTTTGTCCTTCTCTCTGCCATTCTGCCTGCTGCAAGCTTCCTGGCGGCTTTTACATTTGCTCAAGTCTTTCTCATTTAAACAAAGTGTGTGTCAGTTGCTCAGTCGAGAGACACCATGGACTGTAGTCATCAGGCTTCTCTGTCCATGGAATTCTCCAAGAGAGAATACTGGAGTGGGTAGCCTTTCCCTTCTCCACGGGATCTTTCTGACCCAGGGACTGAACCTGGGTCTCTCACACTGCAGGCAGATTCTCTACCATCTGAGCCACCAGGGAAACCAGTCTCCCCCTGAATACACTGCCTCATCCTGTCTTATCTATCCTTCCTGTCATCTACAAATTACTCACTTGGTTCATCCGCACTTTTCCCTTAGGTCTATATCCGCCTCCTGCCTCCATCTGTCATGGAAATGTTGTTGTTCAATTGTCCAACTCTTCACGAATTCCATGGACTGCAGCACGCCAGGCTGCTAAAGTCTGCATTGACTTTGATGTTATAGTCTTACTGAATTTCTCAACAGCACTAAGAAGCCGTCTGTTACTCGCCTTAAGTGACATTTGTTCAAACGGAGATGAGTCAAACCTGGAATCACTCCTGTTAGGTCCAGTGCAGTAAACCAAGACTTAATACCTGCCTTGACTATGGTTTTAACCTTCTCCAGGAATGTGACCTTTGACCGGCCAACCTGGAGCTTCATGGTCAGCACTAATAAGATACTCCGCCCAGTAGCCCCTTCTGTTCCCCTTAACAGGCTACCTTGTCTAAGACAGTGCCTTCTTTGTTAATAAAACAATACATTCTTTGCTAAGAATGTCATATTTTCATTCTCTCTCTGACTTCAGAATCCTTTGCTCTCTATGGCTGGAGGCAACTCTTTCCTTGCTGGCTAGGAGGCAGCTGGGCTCATGAATCATCCAGTAAGGCCAGTTAGATGGTCAGATTTACTCGGCTGAATTTTTGTTATTTAACAATATCTGGAAACCAACTCCTGGGCCTCCAGGATACACCCTCCTTGCTTTTCTTCTCCTCCCAGGGCCCTTCTTCCCTCCAGGCTCATTGTCCTTGGCCTCCCTTCACATGCTGTCTAAGCCCCACTTTCAAGGCCCTTCTCTCCTCTCTTCCATCCTTGAGTCACCGCCACCCACCCAGGTGTCTCCCACTCTCTATCTCAGAGCTCTACTTCACTGTCTCAAAAGCAAAACAAAGTCTCAAAGTGCAAACCCCAGTGCATTTATTCATTCCGCTCTCAACTACTGGGCTCCCCAGGTGGCTCGGGGTAAAGGATCTGCCTGCCAATAGAGGAGACGCAAGAGACGTGGGTTCAGTCCCTGGGTCGGGAAGACCCCCGGGAGGAGGGCATGGCCACCCACTCCTGTATTCTTGCCTGTGCAAATCCCATGGACAGAGGAGCCTGGTGGGGCTGCGAAGAGTAGTCAAATGTCTACTGTTGACTGACCTCACCTTCCCCAAGGTCACGACAGATTTCTGTAAATGATCATTTCAAAGGACACTCCTTGTACATCACGTCTTGGATGGGGAGTTAGAAACATGAACCTACCGGTATCCCTGGGTAGCCTGGTGTCCCCCGAAGTCCTGGGAACCCTGGCTCTCCCTGGAAGACACATGACTCTTGTCATTCTTCTTAGTTGTTCTAGAACAGCCTATTGTGATATTTCCCCTGGTTCTTGCTTCTAACCCTGCAGCAGTAAATTCAGACAAAGTAACCCAAATTCCTCACAGCTACTGGATCATGAGGCTAAAGACTAGAAAACCATTATCTTAATTGAAAACAGGATTAGAATCTACTGTTTCTCAAATTGTGCATAAACGGCAAAAGGATAATTGTGCCAAGAACTTTTTAATGGCTGCTTCCTTGAAATTTTTGTAATTAGTCCTTTCATGGCCACCATCCTGGGGAAAAAGCAGAGTGCAGTCAGGAGACAAAGGAGATGAGTGCACATTGAAAAGCTCAGTCTTTGTTTTCCAGAAGCCAACTTTGCATTCTAAGCTTTAGTTTCCGGTTTATATTCAATCACAACCTCAGATGCAAATATCTGTTTAAGCCCTAGTCACCTTCCTGTGGGAGAACATGAGAGAATTTCCTTAAAACATAATCTGAAAGCAAGGTGGGTGGAGGGAGTGGGGATTGGGTGCAGGCAGTCAAATGGTATTCCAAACTCCCAGCTATAAGATAAATAGTCCTAGGATACAATGTAAATGTGAGAAATCTAACTAACACTGATTAATTTTTAAATGTTAAGAGAATAAAGCCTAAGAATTAACACACACACAAAATGTTTTCCTTCTTTAATTTTGTATCTATAAGAGATGGTAAGCTCATTAAACTTGTGATGATAATCATTTCATGATGTATGTAAGTTATTATGCTGCACACCTTGAACTGAGGTAGTTCTATGTGTCAATTATATCTCAGTAAAGCTGGACGAATAAAGAAAAAAGCATGAAAAGAAAGAAAATCATCACCTTTCTGTCCTGAAGACACATACCACTGGTTCTGGCCAAAACAACATTTCAAGGAAAGGCTAGGCCATCTCATTGCTATGTCACCCAGGTTTATTCATTTACCAAAACACGAACTAACCATCTCCTGTGTGAGAAGATACATACCTTGGAACCATTGCATCCTGGCAAACCAGCAAGTCCATAAGGTCCAGGATGGCCTGGGATGCCCTAAAAAACAGAGAAAGTCTCAGAAAGAAAAGATATTCAGGCTCTGGGCCAGGTAGAAACAGTGCAGAGCACACAGTGGGAAAAGATGGGCTAATTTAGGTAGTTATTTAAGTATAAATGGTTATTTAAATAGTTAAGTAGTAAACTGGTTATTTTAGATAATTTAAATTAAAATAATAGGAAATAACATAGCCTAATTAAAACCATAAATTATCAAGTGAGGTATGTTATTTAAGATAAAGCAAAAGGTCTTTCTATACAAAATGTGTCCATTAACACGCTGTATTAAGCTGGAAGAAAGGAGAAGAGGGAAGTGTGCATAGTGTAACTATTTGATTATTTTATCCTGTGCTATTAAGTAGATTTATCCTATTCTATTCTAATCTGTCTCATCCCATCCCATCCCACCCCAATCTATTCCATTCTATTCTGCTTACATTTCAGAAAATACAATTTGACTTGATATCCTATAAATCCACATTCTTAATACACTATAATTCTGACATTTTGATCATGTAGCCAAAACATCATACTCATTTTCTTGTGTTAGTGATTTAACATCTTTATTAAAATGAGCTTACTTATTATTCCATTTACACATTTTCTCACTACTTACTGGAAGTCCAGGAGAACCTGAAAATCCTGGTAATCCAGTTATTCCCTAATAACATAGACAAGAAGAAAGATGGTAAGAAAAAAACTAAAAATGTTCAACCTGTAAACAAAACGTGATTTATCATTCCTAAACCTCCATCCTGTAACTATAATTGGGAACAGCTAAAAGCGATTTGAAACACACAAAAAAGCTTGACAAACTTTGTAAATCTCACATTTACAAACTTTTCAAAAGACACGATTAAGATCATTTTTGGCTTTTTGGGGGGATAGATTTTTTTAAGGCATAATTTTCATAAAGTGCTCCAATCTTCCACAAACAGACTGAGGAATATTTACCTGTGTACATATGCACGTTTTGGTGATTCCCGCCCAACCAAACACAGAACCTCTCCACCAGCCCAGATGGTACCCTCATGCAACTTCCCAATCGATTAATACCTACCCCCAAGTGAGTAACCACTATGTAGACTTCTACCATTATAGACCGCTTTTACCTGCCCTTGAACGTCATCTGTAGAGTGGGTCACACACAACCTACTCCTTTGTGACATCTGTATAACTTTTACAGTGCTGGGGTTCTTTTCACTTTTTTAAAACAAGATTTTTCATCAAACAAGCAGGATAGACTGGGTGGACTACTAACCCTCACGCCTTTGGCACCAGTCAGTCCTGGAGATCCTGGAGAGCCCTAGATCCAAATGCAAAAAACAAAAGGTAAGCCCTGTGACAATTACTTGGCACTAATAAGCCCATACATGAAAGGTCCTAGTTTTATTCACACGCCACACAGTTTTGCTCTTGCGATTATTTCATTGTTAACACGGTTCAATTGCTTGCTTGTTTCATTGGCGCTATAGTTATTTATCCGAAAGCACAAACAGAAATCCATTCATACCCCTGCTACTCAAGGTGGGGGGTCCAACAGTAGCATCATCTGGGAGCTTGTTAGAAATGCACCATCCTGGGTCTCCCCCACCTCCCAGACCTATTGATTCAGAATTTGCATTTCAACAAGATTTGATGATGATTCTTGCTCACATTAGTGTCTGAGAAGGGCTGCGGGAAAAGCCCCACATTAGCCAGACAGCTGCCATGGGCTGATAAGGATGAACGACACAATTACAACGGCGGCCGAGAATGGCAGGCAATATTTCTGTGCATGAGAACTACTTTATTAACAAAATGTGCCTGGCAGGAACAAATAAATAAACAGCAAATCGAGAACTGCCTGAACCAGAGATAAACTTGCTTTAAAACACACAATGAATACACGTGGAGGTTCTGTTTCTTAGAGAATAGCCCCAAACAAAATGGTTTTAACAAGACCACTTGGTGTGAAAGTTCCATTGTCGTCCAAAAGTTTTTCTTCATTCCTGAGAGTTTCAGTATGTTTTGGTATTTCTGATTATTTGAGGACAGGGTTGTTACAGAGACTTCTAGACGGGACCGTCAAGGCCAAAGTCAGTCTTTCTTGTCTGGAGTGGAATTCCTAGGTGCGTGACCACGAACCCCTCCTCTGCCAGGGGCTGTCTGTAATCTGCAGATGCCAGAAGCGTGACTTGCAGGTTTCACTTCGCCATTATAAACTGTCTCATATAGGAAATATTCAGACTGAAGACCTTTATAAACCTGCAACACCTTTTAAATCAGGTTTTACTATTCTCTGATTGTCTGCCTTGGGTTAAATTATCATTATGGCTATATCTTTAGGCTATGGGTTTCCCAGGTGGAGCAGTGGTAAAGAATCTGCCTGCCAATGCAAGAGACTCAAGAGATGTAGGTTCAATCCCTGGGTTGGGAAGATCCCCTGGAGTAGGAAACGGCAACCCACTCCAGTATTCTTGCCAGGAAAATCCCGTGGACAGAGGAGCCTAGCTGGCTACAATTCACGGGGTCAGAAAGCGTCAGCTATGACTGAGCACAGCATAGAACACAACACAGCAGCTCTAAGCTATAGTTTACTATATCAATTTTCTGGATGAATGTTATGGAATACCTACACATCATGTAACCCACACAAAGCACCATGTGTTTACAAGTGTAATTTTAATTCATTACTGACTTCTCTAAAGAAAAGCTAAGGAAACCAGCAGAGTGGAGTGCAGGGAACAAAACAAAAAGGAGAGAGTTAGCATTAGGCTGATCTTAAATCCAGTGCTGAAGTGACAAATTCCCCTCCAGGGAAATGAAGGGAAATCTGAGACTACGCCCTGAAGGAATGTAGCAGAATGTTCAGACACTAAACATGTCTGAAACCAGACACTAAATATCCAGAATCTAAATGACTTTTTTCATATTAGGATTAGAGAAAGGAGAAATGAAGAAACAGAACGCATACATGAATACAGTAAAGTAGAATGCCTGGAAAACAGTAAGTCTTGCAGGTGTGAGAATGGGTTTAATTTCTTTGGCTGAAGGAATTTTATTCTGGCATCATATAGTCCTGGATTTGAACTCTGATTCAAATCCTATCAGACCTATTGGCTGTCTAACCCAGGACAAACTGCTTCATGCTCTGAGTGTCAGTCTCCTCATCTCTAAGATGAAGATAATATGTCACCATCGTCATGACCAATGAGATCAACGTGAGGAGTGAAAGAAATCCAGTCAAGAAGAAATGTCCCAATGCCTGACTCAGAATAGGGGAAACACAGATTAAAACCTCCCACAGTAGCCAGGCACTGTGGTAACCATTTGTGTGTTATTTTACGACAGGAGGGACTGGTAAGGAACATGGAACTAATAAGCTACCACCGACCGAAAGGTTTGGGGAAGGTCAAAAGGAGCCGCCACATATCCTGCCACTTCCCAGAATCCTCCTCGCTGGAATCCATCTTGGCTGAGCGATGCCTGTGCCACCAGGAAGGACCCTGAGTCAGAATGACTGGCCAGAGACAACCCGGAAGCTAACCCCATCACCATAAAACCTGAGGCTGCAAGCCACATGGCGGAGCAGTTCTCCTGGGTTCCCTCACCTGACTGCTCTCCACCCGGGCGCCTCTTCCCAGTAAAGTCTCTTGCTTTGTCAACTCGTGTGTTTCCTCAGACAATTTATTTCCAAGTGTTAGATAAGAGCCTTGGAAGGGTCCCCTTCCGGCAACAAATTCACATAAAATGTTACCTAAATATTCTGTAACATTACTTTGGAAATTTAAAATGATTTAAAATTATAATTTAAAAATTATAATCACCCTCCACAACTTAATAGTTAGTTCATAGCTTCCGGGAAGCCAGCAGACAGGGGAGTGACCCAGAGGGTGCGTGAGAGCCCAGGCTTGAGTCCAGGCTTAATTCCACAGCAGAAAAGAACCATCAGCAAATCTAGTGGTTATGCAGTTATTTAGCAAATCCTCTAGGGCATTTATTTAGACAAAGCCCTTTGTTGTATCACAGACTTTAGGATAAAAATGTGTGATGAGTGTGAAGGGTGGTGGGCTCTGGTAAGAACCTTAGGAGGCCTGACACTGAAGAACCCAGCTGAGAAACAGGAACCTAGGAAAGAAGGAAAGCATTGGGGAGGGGAGAGGGGAGAAAGGAGGATTCCAGAAACAAAGGCATGTGTTTCAAGGAGAAAAGAGGGAGCCACACAGCTGGAAACAAAGCAGAGGGTCCAGGTCAGACAAAGACACAGAGTATTCTCCATGGACCTTTTGGGGGTCGAGGGCAACGTGGAGGTCATGGGTTTTCCGGGAGGGAGCAGAAGGCAAACTGTTGCTGGCTAAGGAGTGAATAGGATTTGAGCCACAGCCGGTGTGGTTGGATCTTTTTTTTTTTTTTAAAGAAGTCTGACTGAGATAGGAAAGACAGAGAAAGGATGGCAGTCCTTGGATTACAGTGCTGGAAGGATCCAGAGGAAGTTATATGCTGGTATGGGTTTTGCTTAAAGACGGAAAGAGAAAAACCAATAACCAAGTTGAAATATCTGAGAAAGAGGACACACCATCAGAATGCTATTCTATTGGAAATCCCAGTGACCAGGATACAGGTAGAGGACAGGGCTTGAATGGAGGCAAAAAAAACCCTCACGAGGGGCCAATGCAGGTGTTCAGTTCAGTTTGGTTGCTCAGCCGTGTCCGACTCTTTGCGACCCCATGGACCGCAGCACAGAGTCTTAGCCACTGGATCATCAGGGAAGTTTCTTGAGTTTTACTTTAAGCAGGTTTATCAGTTCAGTTCAGTCGCACAGTCATGTCTGACTCTGCGACCCCGTGGACTGCAGCACACCAGGCCTCCCTGTCCATCACCAACTCCCGGAGTTTACTCAAACTCATGTCCATCGAGTCGGTGATGCCATCCAACCATCTTATCCTCTGTCGTCCCCTTCTTCTCCTGCCTTCAGCCTTTCCCAGCATCAGGGTCTCTTCAAATAAGTCAGCTCTTCGATGCAGGTGTGGAGACCCCTAAGTCAGGAAGTGGGAGGACACAGAGCTAAGGACTGAAAGTTACTGATAGTCTTTTCTTTTCTTTTTGTTCATTAGAGTATAATTGCTTTGAATTGTGGTGCTGGAGAAGATTCTTGAGAGTCCCTTGGACTGCAAGGAGACCAAACCAGTCCATCCTAAAGGAAATCAGTCCTGAATATTCATTGGAAGGACTGATACTAAAGCTGAAGCTCCAACACTTTGGCCACGTGATGTGAAGAACCAACTCACTGGAAAAGACCCTGATGCTGGGGAAGATTGAAGGTGGGAGGAGAAGGGGACAACAGAGGATGAGATGGTTGGATGGCATCACTGACTCAATGGACATGAACTTGAGGAAACTCCAGGACATAGTGACAGGCAGGGAAGACTGGTGTGCTGCAGTCCATGGGGTCTCAAAGAGTCTGAGACAACCTTGCGGCTGAAAAACAATATAACTGCTTTACAATATTGTGTGAGCGTCTACTGAATAGCAACGTGAGTTAGCTCTATGTATACACAGAGCCCCTCCTTCGTGGACCTTGCGCCCACCACCACCCCACCCCATCCCTCTAGATCAGCGGAGGGCTGAGCTGAGCTCCTTGTGCTATATACAGCAGCTTCCCAGCTGCTAGATAGCTAATTTACACATCTTAGTGTAAATACATTGATATATATATACACTTCCATTTGTAAAATAGATAGCTTGAAATAAGAAGCAGTTCTGAGGGCCCAGCTAAGACTGGAGCAGGAATTTACCACGGCATCCATCGTCATAAAGAAGCTTAAGCGGACTGGGGATTTTCCAAACTCACAAGCTAACATACCTTGGGTCCCTGTGGTCCAGGCAGGCCTTCGGGACCCGGGTAACCCTTCTGGCCGGGAGGCCCAGGGGGTCCTGGGAAGCCTTTCTCCCCCTGTAAGACCAAAACAAGACAATACACACACAGAATAGCAATGCCCAGGAGTAAACATAACCATCAGTTTCTTTTCTTTATGATATAATGATAACATTTTGCACATTTTCCCCTTGGATTAAAAAAAAATAGCACTCAACACTAAGTGTAATAGCAACAGGAATGTTTCTGTTAGTATTTGTCTGTAGGCTTGAAAACACTTGTCTTTGGTCTCCTGGAAACTCGACTTTTACCCAAATGGCAGAGCTACACGGAGCAGAGATTCAGGGAATTAACAACTGAGAGGGGAAAGCCCAGTTAGAAAGAAGGAGTTTGGTGAAGGGTGTTTTTGGGGGATGGAGAGAGAGTGACAATCAGGTTCAGGAATGTCTTGGGAGTGTGCATAATTGCTATGTAGCTCGAAAGAACAACACACAGGCTATGAGTTTCAGTCCTCTCTTGATTACACAGGAATTAGTAATTCAATCTGCTATTTGTGGAGGAGATGCAGGCGAGATATCAAGAGTGGCAAAACCAAAAGTGTGAGCTACATAGTTAAGAGATGATAATATGGGAAAGCCCTTAGGGATTAGGGAGTAATTTTAGGCCCAGTAAGGGACATGGCTCTGCCAACAAATAACCTTCCCATGAACACAGATCCTGGGATTACTCTTCAACAGTTAAGACCACTGGTTTGATTCAGATAATCTAGCAGACAAATGGAAACTTAGATTTTTAAAACGGAGCAAGTCAGCTATTTCACATGATGTGTGCGCACACACACCCAATAAAAAGAGAAGCAGAAGAATTTGCTAGGCCCCTCTCAAGACTGTTACCTTCACACTTTGAAGAGCATCTCACCCAGAGGAGGGATTCAATAAATGCTGCTTGAATGAGAGAATGAGTCATAGCTTTTCAACACAGATCTGAACATACCACTTTCACAGCTTCAGGAAAAACCCTAAATCAAACTACACGAATCATAGAATACTTTAAATATGGTCATTTTTATTGTAATTAACGTGCAAATTATTTTGTCTAAAGAGCTTAAAATGCATTCTTTTAAAAAATATTTTTAAGCAGTCATCTTTCAATATTGTTAAGCAATTCATTAGTGTATCTGAGAAAAGGGTTTTGTAAACAAAGGAAAAATTTTAGTTCTGGCTCCGTCTTAATTATCACAAATTGAAAGTTAATGGAGCGAATTAATGAGATTTCACGGCACTCATTTTTTACTCCAATTCTGCAATGGAGCTACTTTGTCTCGCTGAATTTTTGCCTCGAGAGAGGGCTTGTGCAAGATTCTTCCACCAGAGGGCGCCCTTACACCAATGCTGCAGGACAAAATCTGCGGGTTTCGTTTGTGTCCAAGTGAGTCTGTCAGGCTGTTTTCAATTCTCTCGGCTTCGGCAACAGTGTAAATAGGGGATACATACGGATCATTCTCAAAAACTTTCTTTCTCTTTAACTTAATATTTTTTGTTTCCAGATCGAGAGAGCTACAGTAATTGCCCTCATTTATACCAGTTATCTGAAGCTCCCCTCCAAGGCTTTTCCACCATGCCAGGTTAATATTTATATACAATTACTTTAAAATTGTTTGGGGGAAAGGACTTCTCTGATTGTTAACACCAGTGGTTAACACTTCACCTTCCAATGCAGAGAGTGCAGGTTTAATCCCTGGTCAGCGAGCTAAGTCCCCACATGCCTCCTGGCCAAAAAACCAAAATATAAAACAGAAGCAATATTGCAACAAATTCAATAAAGAAAAAAAAATGGATTTGGGGAATGGAATATGGTACTGCTGATCTGTCTGCTACGAATGAAGAGTGTGAATCGTTAATGAGCTCTATGGAGAAAAGGAGCAGAATGAAGGTTTTGTTTTTACCTTCTCCCCTTTGGCCCCATCACAGAAGCACTGGCCTTTGTCTTTACAGATGCAGCCCTAGGAAGAGAGAAAGAGAAAGGGTTTTGTTTAAAAACGGCTTAATAAATTCCAACTGACAGAACAAAAGCAAACATATTTTTCTGTTCTCTGAGCATCAAACACCATTTAGCAGGAGTCCTGTGATACCGTAGCAATTTATCAATAGAAGCAGAGTAGAGAAGTGAGATATACACATAACTGTCAGATAACTGTACATCATTTTTATTGTATTTAGGAATTTCAAGTGATTTACTCATGGAAAAGACCAAGTCAGCTCTCCTTTTTTTCAGAACAATATATAGTTGAATCATATGAAATTGCCATTGTTGAAGGGAGAAAGTGGTCTCATATTTGCAGATTTCTTGGTTCAACAAAGTGAACATAGTTGAATTTGTATATATTAACTGGTGATATCTTCTGTAGATAATTCTATAGTTTTCTTTTCCTGAAATAATGTTTAAGACTGAAAAAGGATGATCACTATCCACCATGCATTTTCAAGAACAAGCTAATTCACTGATGCTGATATCAAAATGCTCCTTCTTATTAAAAAAAAAAAATTAAGCTGTGACCTTGGGAACTCACACATCTAAATGGTCACTTAGACCCACTTACAACCTAGCTTTCACATCTATGCTCATGCCAACTCTAATGAAGGTGTTTTTATTTATTTATTTTATGAAGGTCAGTTTTTATTTATTATTTTATGAAGGCCAGTTTTTAAATTCCTCTCTGCCGGCAGAGGAAGAAAGAGAGAAATAGTTTTTAATAGTGGATTTAAACATTTTGGACACACATTCTATGGTTATATATTTATCTTTTTTTTGGACACACATTCTATGGTTATATATTTATCTTTTTTGGGGGGCGGGGTGTGTTAATATTAACTGAAAATTAGTTTATTTTCCCCAGGAAAAAAATATTAATTGACAACAGAGGCAGAGCAAGCCTAGGAGACGTGCTGGCTGGTAGGAAAAATAGAAAGAAATTGCCTCAAATAGTCTCAGAGTGAGGACTCTGTGCAATCAAAATAAAAAGACATAGGGAATTCCCTGGTGGGCCAGTGGTTATGGCTATGAGCTTCCACTGCTGGGGCACGAGTTCCATCTCTGGTCAGGGAACTAAGATCACACATGCTGCCTGGTACGGCCAAAAAAATAAATAATTAAAAAACAAAAATGTAAGCACACAAACAAAAAAATTTAAATTGAATCTATTTTCTAATCCCAGGGCAGTAGGCTATGTTGTTACTTAAGAAAGGGGAGACCATAGTCATTTTCATACACTCATCATTGATTCTCACATTTTTACCCATCACAATTTCTATCAATGAAAAATAAATAATTGAAAATGAAGGTCTATATTTCCCCCCAAGGGTTAGCTATTTGGCATTCTTTAAGAAGACTAAATTTTTCCACTTTTCCTCCCAGATGCTGGGGGTCATTAGGTCATATCTAGCTTAATTATTTTAATCTTTTTTTCTGGGTTTTGAAACCTTAGTGTTCATTTCAATCACATATTTAAGTATACTAAAATATATACCAAATCTAGTATGCTAATTTAGTATACTTTCCCTGGTGGCCCAAAAGGGTAAAAGCATCTGCCTACAATGCGGGAGATCCCTGGGTTGGGAAGATCCCCTGGAGAAGGATATGGCAACCCACTCCAGTATTCTTGCCTGGGAAATCCCATGGACAGAGGAGGCTGGCGGGCTACAGTCCTCGGGGTCATAAAGAGTTGGACAGGACTTATTGACTGAACAACAATACTAACATTTATTAAAGTCCTTGTTCTCAAAGTATGGATTTTCAGAGTATCAGCAGATTTCCAGTATCAGCAGAATCTGGAAACCTATCAGAAATGCAAATTCCTGGCCTCACTCCAGACTCACAGAATCAATAACCCTTGTGTTGGTTGCAGTAATCTATAATAGGCCCCCTGGGTGACTCTGATGCTACCAGTCTAAACCAATATCTACAAGCGCAGACCATAGCGTAGAGCTAATTCTTTAAAGATTTCTGAACACTTGGACCCTAGTCTGCACATCCACTTTTTGTTTGTGATGCCATTTTCCCTCTCAATCCAAGAAGGCAGCCAGGCTTTAGAGAGGCTTTCATCACTGGGCTGAAAGCAAAAGCTGCCTGAAGGTAAGATTTTTCCTGGCTTTTGTTTCTGGAGTGCAGGGACCCATTGATGGTTGGCCCCAAGAATGGAGGAACCACCAAGCTGTTCCTCCAAAGTGTCTGGAGGAGGCAGTAGGGCCTCAGAAGAGGAAAGTCTGAGTCCTACACCCAAGGGAACCAGATACTGGGGCAGGGAAACTCAACCCCAAGAGGACCTGGTGCTCTAGTTTACACAGAGGTGGTGGCCACTGTTTCATGTAGATCCTGAGCCTCTGACTCATCTGCCTCTCAGACATCACACAAGACCTGTATTTGGAGCATCTCTGGACCACAGGTAGGAGGAGGCAAACTGGCAATCCTCTAACTCCTAAAAAGGTGCATGTTGTTGTTCAGTTGCTAAGTCATTTCCAACTCTTAGCAGCCTCATGGACTGCAGCATGCCAGGCCTCCCTGTCCATCACCAACTTCCAGAGTTTGCTCAAACTCATGTCCATTGAGTCACTAATGCCATCCAACCATCTCATCCTCTGTCATCCCCTTCTCCTCATGCCCTCAATCTTTCCCAGCATCAGGGTCTTTTCCAGTGAGTCAGCTCTTTGCATCATGTGGTGAGAGTATTGGAGCTTCAGTCCTTCCAGTGAATAGTTAGGGTTGATTTCCTTTAGGATTGACTGGTTTAATCTCCTTGCTGTTCAAGGGACTCTCAAGAGTCTTTTCCAGAACCAAAGTTCAAAAGCATCAATTCTTCATAGATGAAGAATTGCCATTTTAAGTTTTATTTCTTGGAGTAAGTCACAGTCATATATTATTGGGTATCTTTCAGTCTTAGTTTGAACAAATAAATGTTTGCTGAACTCTTCCAAAACAAGGTCAGGTCCCCTTTCCTATATGCTCCAATGGGCCACTTGCAGTTATATGTGTAATGCATATTTTTCTTGATGCCCCTAAGCCTCAGAAGAGAAGGAATTGTCCAATCTTTTTCACATTGGCAACCCTGGCTGTAATATGTCCTGAACAAACGCTTATGGTTTGACTGAATGGATCAATGAGTGAATGGAGCACTGGTAATTTGTTTATATCCATATTGATCCTGGAATTTCAAGGCATGTGATATATATGGCTATTGCTGGGCTGCCATGATTAAGATGTTATACACACACACATATTCTATATGTATGAATTCTGAACAACTATGTTTGAAGTGGGAGAGAATGAAACTAGAAGCTTTGGCTATTTTAACACATGTTAAAATTAACACAAGGTTAATTCGTTGTTAGTTGCTTGGATATACACATTTCGGGGGGGAAATTTTTAAACCCTCAGAAGAACTGAAAAACAGTATAATGAACACCTATATATCTTTTCATCTAGGTTTCCCAACTGTTAACATACTCTCCTAGCCATTCCAGCTGTCACTTTCTCTCTGTTTCTCTCTCTCTCTCTCCTACACACACACACACACACACACACACACACACACACACTTCCTTGCCAATCCATTGAAAAACAGACTGTAAACACCATGACTCTTCATGCCTAACACTTCTGCATGCATCTCCCCCAAACACGAGTACATTATTATTCAGTAACAACATTATTTTCAAAGCTAAGAAAGGGACTCTGATGCAATGACTTCAAGTTACTATTAATAGCTCTTAAACAAGATCTTCAGCTTTTCAAGGCTCTTGATGACAATTAGAAAATGAAAAGCTATTTAATTTTTTTAAAATCTTTTCAAAAAATAAATAAATAAATAAAAAATATTTTCATACCATAGAGTTGGTCTCAATCAGTGATGTCACCTATAATTAATACATGAGGTCTGAACAAATGACTGTCAGAGATCCAAGCAGCTTTAGCGCCCACACGACCGCACCCAGAGAGCAGGTGTGGGACTCTGCTATCAGCCCTCATTTGTCCCCTTGACTCCCCTCCTGTCTGGGGAATGTCCCCCCATCGCCACCCACAGCAACACTCATCACTGTGCCCTGGCATCAAAATCTCGGTCCCTGACTTTTTACATCATTGTCCTTGAGTTTGGGTCTTGAACCTTCATGGGTGACATAGTTAGCTTTTATTTTTATTTGATTTCATGGCTTACACATGAAGGTAGAAGTCTTATTTTCAAGGAGAAAACAGAACAGGCTCTATCTTGAAAGCAGGACTCTATCTTGGACTGGACTGTGGACTTTAAGCTATATGCCCAGTATCTATGGAAATGACATACCAACTGGAAAACCAGACCCAGGGCTTTTACCTAGACTCTCTGTCACCTCAAAGAATACCCTAATTATCTGTGTAACCGAATAGAATCATATATTCTATTATGCTTATTGGGGTATGACCACAGGCCTATTGATAATTGTCCACTGTTAACTACCTAGGCTTAAGGCATATGAATCACAGGTTAACTTTGACTGTATCTTTCTTTTTCCTTTGTTCAGACTAGTTTCAGGGAATCTGGGGAGGCGGGTTTGTGCACGCACACTTAGGGTATATAAGGTTTTCACAAAAATGGGTCAGGGTCCTTGGCTAAGAGGAGAGAGATCTGCTTTGGGCCCGCAGGTGTAATAAACTGCACCCCACTATATCTGCATTGTCCTTCTGAGTGAATTTGCTTTCCGGAACACGTGGCTACAACAATTTGATGGTTTGAAGCTAGCTGGTTGGTTAGCTTAAGAAGTTAAAGTGAGGAATCAAAAAACAGATAGACAAAAGATACATGAGCACTTTAGACATTTTGACTTAAAATGTGCACACCAATTCTTCAGCCTTGTGAAGTAGGGCCCAGGTCCCATCTTTGGGAATGAAGCTGCTGTTTAGAGGGCTACAGCATCAGTTTTGCTAAGTCACACCCATGATGTACTGTTGCAGAAACCAGTACTCGAGAAACCA